GTGAAGGGCCCCGCAAGGGCCCCGGGTCAGCCCTGGCCGACTCGGGACTCCTTCCGTCACAGTACCCCTATTGGACACTCTAGGGGTCTGACCGTTCAAAGGCCACTCATTATTGTAGGGACTCCGACTGCAAGTTGCGGGCCTCGGTCTCGTTTCTGCTAGAGAAATGAGGCCCCAGGGCTCAGAACTACACGGAGTCAACTATTTGGTATAGTGGTCTCCGGCCGAAATAGGCGTCCGCACTTTCCCAATGGTCCACAATCGGCGAAAGATGCATATTGACTGACATTTGGGATCACAGCCATACGGGCCAGGATGACCTGCAGCCTTTCGACCCTTACGGCCATCCAGCCTTCCCATCGGCCCGTTTATCGTCAGTCTTGAAGGGCACATCGGTCCCTCCTCAGGCACCCTCGTACACTCCCTGACCAACTCGGAGGCCCTTGTCAGCCCCGGACATCCGGTTAGGCGCTTGTGTGCCCTTGGCCGAGACAAGGGCCCCTCATTGGCTCGGAGCGCCCTGACCAATGTAAATCGGGGTTCCTGACCTTGTCCCTGCTTGGAAAATGGGCTACCAGGCCCAGGCCGGGTCCCAGTCGGTGCAACGGGCCCTCTGGCTGTTATTTAAGGGTCCGACCCGCGCCCCCTCAATGACCTTTAGCCAACCCTTCGGGTGCCATATCGGATTTACGCAGCTCCCATTTGAGATTTCGTCGTGGTCACCTGCATGATACTTCAGGCTTAAGATCAATCACTTCCTCCCCACGACAGTCCGACATCAAGAACAAACTGAGTTCGGGGGAGGAGCAAAAAAGTAGAAAATAACAAAAGTATCCCCCAAAACATACGGTAACGTCGTGGGGCGGGGGCGGTAAGCTGGGGCGGAACCAGAGAGGGGGCCACAGGGCATGGCCCCCCTTCCTTGGGCCCCGAAGAGGTCCATTGGCTCCGGGGGCCCATTGGCTCCGGGGGCCCATTGGCTCCCAGGGCCCATAGCCAGCCGAACAGGTGCAGTTTTCTTAACACAAAACGCAACAATACTGGGTATCTCTGGACTTCCAAGCCACCGAGAACAGTTGTAAGCGGAAGGGAAGGGCCTATGAGAAGTTCCAAAAATTACTCAGTGATTGGAAAAGCTGTGAACTGGAATTTTAAGCCCCATGACACCGTCTCGGGCCACATGCTGTTTCCGGGGACCTATATGCCCGTTGCGGGCTCATTTCGGTCGTTAAGGAGCATTCCACATTGTCCTTCATTTCTTTGCATTTGCTCGGAGGACCCTGTGCTGTTGTTGGGGCCCTTCCTGTTAGCGTGCCGTGGAACTCTTGTCAATCACGGGCCTTTCCACGGATTATTTCCATTCGCCAGAAAGGCTCTGTGAGCGGTAGCTAGAGGACCATACCTTAACCTGCCGGGGTATTCTCGGTTGCTCAGGACTGGTTGCTACGTGGGTATCGGTTAACCTACCGATGGCCTACCGATGGCCCATGGGTCCTCTACATTGGTCTAAGGCGTTTCCAATTCTCTGTCACCTGCTAAGGGCCCTACACTCTTGTCGGGGGCCCGTCTGATGGTCTGCTTGGGCACACTCAGTCCTTCGGGGATCGTATGCACTGGGTTTTTGGTACTTTTTCTGGATGGGGGGTTACGCTTCTGTGTGTGTGGGGGGAGGGGGACTATCTGATAAACTCCTCGGGCACATTCGATCGTTCGGGTGGCCCTCTATATTGGGCCTTGGGCACGTGCCATTTGAATGGTACCCTACGCACTTGTCGGAGCTCCCTCCGTTCACCTCACCGGCCCCACTGGATTGCTGGTGGGCCCTGCACATTGGTTCTTGGTATTTGAATTTAGGGCCATCTGCCCCTATCGGGGTCATCTGATAACCTGTTCGGGTACACTCCATCTTTCGCCCCCCCCCCCCCACACGGGGCTTTAGGTACTTCTTATTGGATCGTGGGGAACCTCTACGTCTGGTTTCGGGTACTTCCTTCTCTAATGGAGAGCCCTCCGCTCGGGGGCCCTATCTGTTAACCTGCTCTGGCGCACTCGGTTATTCGGGACCCTCTACTTCGTGCCGTGGGTAATTCATATTTAAACAGGAGGCCCTGCGCCCTTGCCGGGGCGCCATCTGTTAACCTGCTCGGGCACATTCGAATATCCGGGGGCCCTCCACATCGTGTCTTCGGTACCTCCCATCTCAATGGAGGGACCTACGCACTTGTCGGGGACTCCATCTGTTCGCCGCTTCGGCCACACTGGGTTGTTCGGCGGCTCTACATATTGGGTCTTGGTGTTTGAATGAAGGGCCCTACACTCCTGTCTAGGTCACCTGATAATTTCCTCGGGTATACTCCATCTTTCGGGGGCCGTCCGCACTTGGTTTTGGGTACTTCTTTTCTGAATAAAGGGCACTGCGCTCTTGTCGGGCTCCTTCTGATACGCTGCTCGGGCACATTCCATCATTCTGGGGCCATTTACTTTGGATCTTCAGTGCTTCCCATTGGAATGAAGGGCCTTACGCTCTCGTTGGGAGCCCTATTTGTTAACATGATCGTGCACACTCAATCATTCTGGGGCCCTCTACATCGGATCTTGGGTATTTCCCATTTGAATGGAGGGCCCTGCGCTCTTGACCGGGCCCCATATGTTTACTTGCTCTGATACGCCGGATCATTCGAGGGTCCCCTGCGTTGGGTCTTGAACACTTCCTATTTGGATGGAGGGTCCTGCACTCTTTTTGGGAGCCTTATCTGTTAACCCGCTCGGGCACACTCGATCGTTCGGGGGGCTTCTACATTGGGTCTTGAATACTTCCTATCTGAATGGAGGGCCCCAAGCTCTTGACGGGGGCCCCATATGTTAACCTGCCCGGGGGCACTCGATCGTTCAGAGCCTTACACATTGCGTCAGGAGTATTTCTCAGTTGAATGGATGGCCCTTTGTTCTTAGCGGGCCCCATTTATTCAGCTGCTCGGACCGGTGGCGGATGCGGAGGGTGCGGGGGGGGGGGAGAGGCACAGGACCATGTCCCATGGACTATGCCGAGGGAACCTAGAGGCTCCGAAGGGGCCCATACCCAGCCAGGCGGACGCAGTTTCCTTATAACAAAGGCATAACAAAATTGGATGCCTTTGGGCCTACAGATGACCAAGAACCATTGCTACCAAAAGCAAAGAGTTCATAAGTAAACGAAGTTCATTCTTTGCTGATTGAGAAGGTGTTGCTTGGTGGAAATTTTGGAGGTCATTACGCTGTTGGCGGCCAATCCCTATATGTTCACTTGCCACGTTAATCTGATCGCTAAGAAGCTTTCCACGTTACGCTTGACCTCTTCCCATTTTTTCGTAGGGCCCAATGTGCTGTTGGTACGCTATCTGCCTCCATGCTGGAGCGCTCTTGATCAATCTGGTTTTCCTCCACAGATTCTTCCCAGTCGCCCGAAAGGCTATATACACTTTTTCCCGCGGCCGCATATGCCAGAGTACACTCAGCTGCTCAGGGGCCGTTCTTGTAAATCTCAGGTTCTTTCTACTTGCTTGAAAGGCTTTGTGCCATTGCTAGGGCTCTTATAAGACAAGGCACGGAGACACTCGGTGCTCAGAGGCCCTCTACTTGAATCGAGGGCTCTCCCCTTTTGGTCTCATTTGCGGCTGACCTTTCACTCCTATCCAGATTGGTGTTGTTCACCTGCCCGCGCACTCTTGATTGCACAGGGGTATTAATTTATAACCTCGATAATCCCCCTTTGCTTGGAGGGTCCTGTGCTATGACCGGGGCTTCATATGTCAGCCTGTCGAGGCACTACCGATCGTTTAGTGACCCACCACGTTGGTCTAGAGCTCTTTTTGCTTGCTCTGAGGAACCTACACTTGTTGACGGGAGCCATATTGTTGGTCTCCTGCGACGCCCATGGCCACTCTGGTTCTGTCCCTGTTGGCCTTGGTGCCTTCGCCTTTGAGCAGCAGTGGAATATGCGCCGATGAATTTTTACGCGTAGTTGCCAAACGTAATTCTACATGCCACCGCCGTCTTATGCGTCATTTCCACTGGCTATTGAGTGGGTCACAGTCATTTAGATTTACGGCCAACATTCGCGGGATCCTGAATATCTGTAGGGTGTGCCCCCCCGCCCCCCTTCCTTTGGCATTAGAAACTACGGCGCTGTCTGATATGAAAATCCCGATTTATAATTCACTCTACTGAGCAGCGAAGCAAATCGGCATCATCACGCCATGTCGACAGGCCATGAAACCACCCGCTTAACAGCGGCCGTCGTCTAGATGCGAACGCAAGCTTACCGCATACGAGACCAGCACGGTAAGCATCCACCCACCGGAGATGCGGGCGCGGGGCCGAAGATTTGTCAGCAGAATATAACTAGTTCAGAGTGAGTTGAAGGAATTTGTAATCGTTTGATATCTATCATCATAGAGCCATCTTTTCGCACGGGATTCTGCATGTTTGCACTTGCTTCCCTCCAAGGCTGCCAATCCGCGTATGCATAACACGTACAACCATCTGAAAGATTTTTAGAGAGTGTGTAAGCCCGGTGCGTAACCACCCTCTGTTTTGGTGGGTGTATACGCACTGCCCACACACACACACACACACACAACACACACACACACACACACACACACACACACACACACACACACACACACACACACACACACACACACACACACACAATATATATATATATATATATATATATATATATATATATATATATATATATATATATATATATATATATATATATATATATATATTTGGAAGGGCCTCAAACTCCAGGTCGCCCCATCATGTTGCGTCGCCCCTCTTGACGAAATCCTGGATCTGCCCCTGGCTGCAATGCCCTGAATTGATCCATGCGGTTTTTTAGGTGAATATCGTGACCTGTGACCACCAGTTTCAGACCGGTCACTTAAACCGCATACTAGCTTTCGATTGGTACCAATCTGAAGAAAATCTGACCACTGGTTTCGTAGTTTGAGCTCAGCTGCTTGGATGGCGGTGGAGTAGTGTTGTGCACGGAAAATCCGTTTCGATTCCGTGGTACTCGTGGTGCATCGTGGCGCTCGTAGAGTTGTGCGTGGGTGTGCGGCTTTCAAAGAATCATGGGAAATGACATTAGTCAATGCAAGGACTACACATTAAGCAAGGAGTCGTTTGGCACTGCTTCAGAGTGGGTTTTGTTCGAAGGCAGGAGATATGTTTCCAAACCAATTGGGCAGGCGACTGAAGAAAAGGAGGCTGATGTTCTGGATGATATTGCTGGCAATGCCATCACTGTGTTTGTCGGCATGCCAGAAGAGAAGAGAGGAAAGATGAGCTTTCTGCACAACAATGTGAAGGTACATTTGAAAGAAGGCACATATTTTTGTCTTTGCCCCAACTTGAAGAAGAGCCTCTGGGCAAATTGAGATCTACATCATGCATCTATAAAGAGATGCATGATGTCCATCCTGGTACACCTAAGATTCATAATGAAATATAAGTTCTCTCCAAGGAAACATTAATGAGATATTTTTGTATATGTATTGAAGCATATTGGTACATGAATATTTTAATTTTTATTTTGATTGGTACATGAATCAAGATTTGAGCAACTGAAAGTTAACCAGTGTATGATCAAGCCTACTGACAAGAATGCAAAGAAGTGAATTGATTTAAACAATAATCTAAAGGCCTCATAGATCTTTATTTGTCAAGCATGTCAAGCTGGATGGTGATATATTAATGGAAGACTCATGTCATGATGCAGATGCAGCCTAAGCTGTGTGTGGTGGTGAACTCTCCGCAGCTAGCTACATTGTAAAAGTGGACTGTGAATAACACATGACCTAAATTAAGTCTGTTCATGGTTAAGTTGTATTGACTGACTTTTAAAGTGCATGGTTATCATAAATAAATAACTCAGCTATTGATGATTGCCTGATGCTTATTACCATCAACAATTTAGGATATATATATATATATATATATATATATATATATATAATGTTTAAGAGCACACAAAAGACTAATGTTAATAATTCCCACAAGCAAGGAAAAAGTCAGTAGTATGAGCATAACGTTTGATGTGTAACTACTAGAATTGAAATGGGTTGTCGTGGAAAATGATTTAAAAGCATGCATATTAATATCATTGGTTATGAAATTATCAAGTTGCAAATATTATGAAGTTGATAGATAACATTAACTTGAAACAATGCCATTACCCAACTGTGTCATACTTGCCACTCAGCAGTGTGGTTCACTGAGCATTACCCACTAAGTTTCTTGCCGCCAGTTGACTTGGCACGTCATTTATGGTGATTAACATCATAATTTTGTAACTCATGTTTTGGGGATAAGCTTTCACAATCCTGCAAGGTCATTGTTTTTGTTGGTGTGGTGAGGTAGTAGTTTTACGATACAGACAGTTAAAATTTAGCAATGTGATAGGAGCTCAAATTCTCACTAAACATCCACATAGTGATGCATGAGGCAGATACAACACCCGCCTGACCTGATGAATGTCCTCAGCTAGCACTCTGCCTGCCTTGTAATGCTGTGACCACTGTGCAGTGCAGTCACTGTGGCATATTCAGATGACCACCATTTGTCGCCAGATGCTGATGACGCTGCGCCATCCAGACTTGCTTCGCTTCCTCAGCTGGCGTGAGACCTCGAGCCGTGTGGAGCTGGTCACTGAGCATGTGCGCCCGCTGGCCGAGCTGGCCGGCCGGCTGACCGAGCTGGACATCAGTGGTGGCCTGCTGGCCGTACTACGTGCGCTTAACTTCCTGCACCAGCAGGTCACTATCAGCAGTCTTGCTCTGCACTCCTCTTTACATGGTGCCCCCCTGCCCTGTTCTGGGGTGGTGAGCACCAGCACAGAGGTATTACGCTGTTGTTTTCACGTGGGGGCGCCGTAGCATACTTTGTTGGTCCAGCGAAGAGAGGTTGGGAGTTGGAAATGGGTCACCAGCCGTGCTTCAGTCTTTTGCTTCATTCAGTTCGAGATGTGGTGGAACTAGTGACCATATGATGTGAAAATTCTGCACGAGTCCCATGGAATGATTAAAAACTATTACGACATCGCACAAGCCACACACTGGATGACTTGTGCGCCTTGCACTCCGTCCATTTCTGGTAACCGACCGTGCGGTCGATCGCCCCTAAGCCCGAACAGCTGACCCGCTGGCCGATGACCCGAGCTCGTGGCCGACAGGCGGGCATGTGCCACAACAATGTGGGCCAAGCGGCCGTGTTCGTGACGTCGGACGGTGCGTGGCGGCTGGGCGGCGGCGAGTTCGCGTGCCGGTTCTCGGACGCCACGGCCGAGCGACTCCAGCAGACGGCCGTGCACCGCTACCAGCCGGCACTGCCGCCCGAGGAGACCGAGCCGCAGCCGGCCGACCGGCAGCAGTGGTGGGCAGGGCTGGCAACTGGCGGGCAGGCGGAGACAGCCGCGTCGAGTCGGGTGGGGGGCCCGCCGAGCAGAGCGAGGTTACGGGAAGTCAGCAGTGGTGGATGGCACAGGATCCACCGACCGATAGCATTATAAATGGGATTGGACCCTAAAACATCTTGGGGACAGCGGTGCAGGGAGCAGCAGGCACCCGCACAGTTGGCAGACCTGGACGTTCGACCCATCGTGTCTGGGTAGTGACGCGGAGCGGGCCGGCATGGCTCTTGCTGTGTGGTCGTGGCATGCCAAGGTGGTGCAGTGATGTGTGTTGTTCGCAGAGAATGTACGGGGTTGCGGACGGACTCTGACACCAGAAATCGCAAACAATTGCAACACACGAATATGGGTCTTGAGATCTTGTGTGAACAACGCGAGCAGAATTGGGCGAAGAAGAATTGGGCGTATGTGGCAGCGGCGATCACATTGCCGTGCCGTGTTCCGTGGCTGGTTACACGGGGGCACCGGCCCGAGTCACCCTGCCTGGTGTATCTGTGACGCGGGCCCGTCGGACGTCCGTTCCAGGCGTGAGAGCCGGCCCTGGTGCCGCGACGTGTACGCATACGGTCTGCTGGTGGACGAGCTGATTGGAGTGTGCGTGCGGAGCGGTAAGACCTCGAGCTGACTTTATGCGGTGTTTAAACATGCGTTACGCGTCATAACTTTTCAAAATGACCTGGACTGTTAGTGTATTTTGAAGCAGTGCGAACAACGAGCCTGTTTTGTTGTTCCAGAACTATCAATTTATTGAACAATCGTGCCATCTGAAGGCAACTAGTTTCGTAACAATAGTGAAGACTTATCGACGATGTGATGGTTGCGGCATCAACTTACGACCTATGAGTCATTAACCGAGGCCACGCACCTGGTGCGCGCCACGCTGTTGACAATGGCTTACCGTTGGCCTATTCGCTCCAGACTTCCCGGGCGCTCGTCACTTTCAAGCCGAGGCGAAGCGCCGGCTGTTGGCACGCGATCCGCTGGCTCGTCCCGCCCTCTCCGAACTGGAGGGCCACGACTTCTTCAGCAACGAGTTCAACCAAATCCACAGGTTCCTCACTGACATCGTGCTCAAGAGCCAGGAGGAGCGCAAGACGTTCTTCATGTAGGTCGAGTGGGCTGCTGAGTGCCTGTTCTCGATGTCATGGTATTGTTATAGCGTCGACGGATGCCCCAAGGCTGTTCATGCGATCCTCATAAAGCTCAGCTGCGACGTGAACCCCGGTGTGAAGGCGTGTTCCCGTGCCTATGACGGCGTCCCTCCCACTTCGCACTTCTCCTAGCAGCATTAACGTCATGCTCTGGGCATACTGTGTCTGTCCTCAGTCTCCTGTTACATCCCTGTTGGACCTCAACTTCACTGTACTCCGGTGTCTGACTTCTTTTCTCTGTACCAGGTGTGTTTGACCTCTATACCCGACGTGTCTGACCTCCCCCTCTGTACCGGACGTTTCTCACCCCCCCCCCCCCACTCTATACCGGACGTGTCTGACCCTCCCCCCCCCTCTGTACCGGACGTGTCTGACATACCTCCTCTATACTGAACATATGACCTCCCACCCCTGTACCCGACATGAGTAACCTCCCCCTCTGTACTGGACGCGTCTGACCTCCCTCCCCTGTACCGGACGCGTCTGACCTGCCTTGCCTGTACCGGACGAGTCTGACTGTTGCACTGGACGCGTCTGACCTCCCTCCTTTGTACCGAACGCGTCTGACCTTCCTCCTCTGTACCGGGCGTGTCTGACCTTCCTCTTTCCCACCGGAGGTGTCTGACCTTCCTCCTCTGCACCGGGCGTGTCTGACCTTCCTCTTTCCTTGACCCCCCCCCCCCCTCCGTGCCGGACGTGTCTAACCTCCCTTCTGTACCGGGCGTGCCTGGCCTGTCCCCGATGTGCAGTGACCTGGCCAGCCGCCTGCGTGCCTACCCGGAGGAGCTGGTGGCGAGCAGACTGTCGGCGCTCTGTCTGGGGCGACTGGTGCTACTGGACGGAGACGCCTGCCGCCACTTCCTGCCGCGCCTGCTCTCGCCCAGAGTCGGTGAGGGGCCGCCGGCGGACGGAACCGGGGCGGACGCGGGGGCGCGCGCGGAGGCGGAGAGGGCAGGACAAGGGTGGCAGGGAAAGAGGGGCTGGTGAAGCGGCGGCGAGAGCAGAGACAGAGAAGAATAGTACAGCGAGGGAACAAACCCCGAGACGGTGACGCCTCGTGGACTAACCACTTGTCAACGCTTTACAATTTATCCTATCATGTGTCTTGCCATCTAACAGTATTGTCAGAGAAACGTGGAAGATACATTGGCATGTGAGCCGTCTCGAGGTGAGTGGGCAGTTTTGTGCTGTTCCAGATCAGTTTGGCTCGGCCGAGTGTGTGTTCGGGCCTTCTGTCTTCCGGCGGTTTGTCGTGCCGCAGCTGCTACGGATCTTCCACGTTCGTGATGCGCACATCCGATTAGTGTTGCTGCAGCACTTCTCAAAATACGTGGAGGAGATACCCAAGCACTTACTCGCCGAAGTGATACTGCCAGAGGTGAGGATTTTCTCTCTCAGGTCCTCAGAAATGGCCAATAAGGAAAATTAACGCAATTTTGTGTAGCGTATGCTCTAAGCATTGCGCCGAAGTAATGGTCACCGTAGATGCATGTCTATTTTGCATGGTTTTTGGGGACATTGCTACTTTTTTCTGTTGTCATGGTTCCCTGAGTTATTTTGGTCTGCCGCCGTTTGTTGCTGATCATAACAACACTCGGACCGCGCGCCGAGCATGTGTTAACGTCAAATTACCGGCCATGCCATGTCCGAGCGCCCCGGCTGGCGGCCGCTGCTGCGACGGGCGTGTGTATTTACATCAGCTGGTGGTGGCGGCACGGTGCTCCTAGCGAGAAACGGTGCAGTTCTTTGGAAATTGTTCCGCAATGCTTTCAGTGTTTGGGCGCGCAAGCCGTTTGGTCATGCAGGTTTCCGTGCAGCAGTGTAATGTGATCAATCTTGATCCTCCCACTTGATTGACATAAACAATTTCAAGTTTGAACATTGATAACAGACAGTGCGAACACAGTTTTAAAGCGCGCCCAGGTCTCGACAGCTTGGAGCCCCAGTTACACGCTATCGATTTAGTTGAGGTGAGATCGGGCGAAGGGCGGGCTATCGCGAGAGCACCATTATGCACCAGTGCGTACGGCGGGCCACGCGCGCTAGAGCGCACACTATCGATCCGCGGTTTTGGACGTTATGTCGGGCTGCCGTCGGGTTTCAGTATCCAGACCCGTAGGCGAAGTCTGTGGGTATCGAAGTGCGCGTGACTCAGGCGATGCCGAAGTCAGCACGCGCGACTTAAGCGGCTTTCGAATGCCGGGAAGTATTCCCATCGCTCGTCTCATGACATAGGATCCAGGCTTGTGCTTGGCTCTGGTTGAAATTGTCCGACCTTGGGATGGCTCCGGAATAAGGAAATTGGCGTTGAGTCGGAGTGGAATCGATGCCTTTGGCGTGCTATTGTGCACTGGATTGGGAGTTGTGTCAGCCGAGAAGGCGGTGAGCTGACTGCAAAAGATGTAACAAATAGGCTATACTCACGTCTTTAAACATGCGCAAGATGGTTCACCGTCGTATACTGCCGCACTAGTATCCAAAAATGTTGTATTTCGACTTTGATTTTGTGTGACTTTGTGGCGACGTGAATGGAGTTCATCGTCGGTCATTGATTGCTGAATTGGACCATACACTCTCGGGTCGGAGTTGGCTGAAAGCTCCACGGCACCAGGGGGGAATCAGAGGGGGAATTGATTCCATGCGTTGTGAGTCGGGATCGGAGTCAGTGCCACCGGAACCGAATCAACTCAAGCCTGACACGCGCGTCTCGGGAAATTTGAAAACCACGTACGGTGGCTCGCCGACGTTCGCCCTGGCTGAATGACTCGCACCTGGATCCTCCCAACCAAGCTAGGCTAGCAGCGAACCGCACAGCGTGCACGAGCAAACCATCTGTGAGCGGCCGTGTGACCTGGTTCCTCCGATCCATGCAGACGGCCACTCCTGACCGGGAAGCAGCCATTGTCGCCTTTCTTTTTAAATCAGACCCGGGTACGATTTGCCTGGTGGGGCCATGCAAACCACACAGGCGCAAAGGCCTGTATGGTTGTAACCAATATCCTTCCAAAATATTGACGTTTCTGAATGTCTTGGTTACAATGCAAACCAAATAAATGCACTTGATTTGGCTCTTGGACCACAATGGCTGAAGAAATTATTTCTTGATAACCGCTAGCCATGGAACGAATGGCCGCTCACCGGGCTCAGACCCGCCGCCAGCCAGTTTTCGATGGTTTTCGCTAACTAGCGCATGACCGCTACATCAGCGGAAGCCTCGGATGCCTGCTAAACCCATGAAAGACGGACATTGCCCATGGCAGACCCATTTGTTTCAGTTCCCAACAATCAACATGAAGATAGCACCCATTTCCATCATCAGCTCGCTCGTTCCAACTGAAATAACGGATCTTACTGGAAACTGTCGGGCTCTAGTGATAAGCCCTGTTGCCATCAGCCAGTGACCGCTGCGCAGCCGACCCCCGTTGCTGCTCTCTGTGGCGCCCTGTCCCGTCGCCTTCCCAGCTGACCCATGAGCCCTGACCTCTGACGCCTAACGTTTGATCCCTGACACCTACCCCCTGACGTCTGACGTCTGACGCCGGACGTCTGACCCCGGACGTCTGACCCCTGACGTTTGACCCCTGAGTCTGACCCCTGACGTCCTACGACTGACCCTCGACCCCTGGCCCCTGACTCTTAACCCCTGACGCCTGACCCCTGACCTCTGACGCCTGACAACTGACAACTGACGCCTGACCCTTTACCTCTTACGCATGACCCCTGACCCCTGACGCCTGACGCCTGACATCTGACGTCCGACGTCCGACCCCTGACCTCGCCGCCAGCTGCTGTTGGGCATCCGGGACACGCACGACCAGTTGGTGGCAGCCACGCTGCGCGCGCTGGCCGACCTCGTGCCCCTGCTAGGGGCGCACGTTGTAATCGGCTCACACCGGCACAAACACTTCGGCAACGGCACGCCCAAGGTAAGCGCGGCGCCGAGCAGGTCACCGTCCGGGCCGCTGCAGTGCACGGGTGGTGGACACTGTAAGGTCGGGTGGATCGAGCGCCTCGTAATGCCGGTCATAGCCAGCGCGGAGAGGGGGCCCATGCGGCAGTCCAATGGCCAAGTAGGCGTGAGGTTACAGCAGGCGGCAGTGGATGCACGGCAGACCGAACACCGGTGTCCCAGGGGGAGGGTTAAACGTCGTGGATGCTAGAACGTCCGAGCCGGCGTCCCAGTGACGCGGTATTGCGTAGCACTGGAACGGTGCCTTCTCGTTTTAGTATTGCGGAATCACAGCCGTTGTAGATTCTCATGAGGACTCAGTACAATGGATCGATTGTGGTCGGCGCGATGTCATGTTAGCAACGTGGTGTCGGGCGTTTCAGGCCACTAAGGGTTCTTCGAGCACTCCCATGGGGCAGAAGCGGGTGACGCTGGCGCAGCGGCTGGAGGATGTCTCTGGTAAGCAGCGGTCTAGCGCGCTGTGTGACAGTGAGCGCTCGTGCGTGCGTGTGATTTTACGTGATGGGTATACGCTCTCACACCAGGCGGTCTATGGGCGACGACTTATCACATCGAAAACCTCCTCAGATTCCCCTCCAGTGTTTTCTCGGTTGCATTTACCTGCGTAGGGAGTTATTTGCGTAATAGGCTTCCGACACCTGTTTTGGACCTTTGATTCATGCATCTCATATGTGCGCTTCCTCATCGGATGTGAAGGGAAGTGCCGGCAGTTTAGTGCAAAAATGGAAACAAGGTGTTGGCATATGCCCATAAACCCAATTTGGGATTAAAGCTGCGTGCTAACTGTATCAAAATGACAGACGCCGTAGTAGGCCACACACCTCTGGTGACGCGGCGTGAGCGCATGCCCGTCCGCTGACACCGCTCGGCCGCGCCGCCGCCAGAGCGGCGCCCGACCCTGCTGGAGCTGGCGCAGCGGGCGGCCGGCGGCGCCGCCGAGCTGCTGCCGGAGCGGCGCTCGCCCGAGGGCGGCGAGGAGCTGCTGCCCGAGGAACCGGAGCCGGAGCCGGAGCCAGAGCCGCAGCCGGAGCCGGAGCCGGAGCCGGAGCCGGAGTCCGAGCCCGACGACGGCGACTGGTCCGACTGGGAGGCGGCCGACGCCGAGCCGCCGCCGCCGCCGGCCACCGAGCAGCCGCTCCCGCCCTGGGACGGCCCCGGTCACGGCCGTGCCCACCTGAGTTCGGGGAATGGTGGCCTGGGCCCCGCGGCCGCTGACCCGACCACAGCGGCCGCCGCCGCGCGCGCCCCTGGCGGCGGCAGTCTGAAGTTGAGCGGAAGGACGCCGCGGCGGCGGCCGGTGCCTGTCGCCGACGACTTCGAGCGGTTCAGTATCCAGGTGCGCCGTCGCGAGTCTCACGAAGACGACCTGTTCGCCGACATGGAGCCCATGATACGCAGCGCGCGCGTGGCGCCGTCCGAGCCGAAACCGGCCCCGGTCCCGGCCCCGGCGTCGGCCCCGGCGTCGGCCCCGGAATCAGCGTCGGTGCCCAAGCTTGACCTGTCCTTCCGTCCGACGGACGGTGACCTGGCGGACGCCGGTTGGGAAGAGCAGGACTGGGACGATTTGTTATAGACGGCGGCTCGGTGGCCCAACGCTCCGTGATGTCAGGTTTGAGGACGAGGACGCCGGCACGGCTGTGGGGTGGGTTGTTGGCGTGCGGGCTTTAGTGGCGTGGTTGTACGTTTGGTCAGACCAGACAGGCTTGGGTGCAGGCTGGAGGCGGCGTGGGATTGCTCAGCCCGGACATCCGAAGCCGATGTTTTCGCTCAGCGTCCAGATGCGACTGTGTAGAATGACATGCATTTATGACGGGGCTTTTCCGTAATGCTCCATGCGATGTGGCCCATCCTGGATACACGTCCGTAAACGGTCGCGCATTTGCATAGCGTCATTTCTCTCTGTGATATGTGCTGGGTTAGTATGAATCCGTGTCGTCTGAGTGTAAATGTTGCGTTACCGGGCCTCTGGGGCGCCGGTAGTGTAGTGCTTAACGCGTCTGCGTTAACCACTCGCGTCTGGGAAACCAGAGGTACGGGGTTCGATTCCCCGCGGTTCCCGCCCTTCCTGCCAGGGTGAGAGGTAGGCGGCACCATATAGCCTCAGCAGCTGAGTGCGCCGTAAAGCCCCGATGACAGGACATTACCGGGCCTCTGAGGTTTGGCTCGAACAAATCACTATGATTGACAACGGTGCATCAATGTGAACATCGTATTTATGGTCGCACAGTGTGTTACAATATATGCCATATCTTGAATGCATAGTCTTGAAGGTCATTTGCCGATATTGTCATGATCATAGCGTGCAATTTGTGGCTTGGGATTTTTGTGCAAGGTGTGGTACAGGAACTATTGCTTTACGAATGCGTAAGCCAACACCAAGCCGCACATAATGGGCATCGCCAGACGCCCTGCTGTTGTAGAATGCCCGGTTGGCCAGATGTTGTTGCTAGTACTGATAGCGAGGTACAGTTGCGTGGACCAAGTTGCAAACTGCAGTAGGCTTACCAAGGCTGAGACCAGGTCTCGTCCGCAGTCGTGCCCAGTCGTGGTTCGGAGTAGTCCGCATCGCCGCTCGGTTTGGCGGCGTTTCAGCGTACCGATGACGTTTGAGGCGTTTCAGCTGAGCGTTGACAGCTGTGTGATGACGTGACAGCGGTGTGATGATGTGGCAACTGTGTAGTGATATGACCGTTGTGTGGTAACATGATTGCTATGTGGTAACTTGACTGCCGTGTGATGACGTGACAGCTGCGTGGTGACATGACAGCTGTGTGATAACGAGAGCTGTGTGATGACGTGACATCTGTGTGGTAACGTGACTGCTGTGTGGTAACGTGACAGCCATGTGATGGCGTGAAGTTGTGTGGTGGTGTGACAGGCGGGATGGCGTGACAGCTGTGTGGTTACATGACTGCTGTGTGGTGACATGGCGGCTGCGTGGTGACGTGACAGCTGTGTGATGACAGCTCTGTGATGAAGTAACAGCTGTGTAGTGACTCGATAGCTGTGGGATCACATGGCAGCTGCGTGATGGCATGGCAGCTGTGTGGTGACGTGACTGCTGTGTAGTGACTTGATAGCTGTATGGTGACGTGATAGCTGTGTGGTGACGTGACAGCTGTGTGGTGACCGCTCATTTTGGTGAATTTTGTGCCGGCTTTGATTCCCGAGACTAGACATTAAGAGGCGTGGCTGGACGAACGGCTCGATGCAAATTTGAACATTTCGGGAGTCACGACTGTCACTTCTGGCCGATGGTCTTCTGCCTAATTTAGAGCCAGACGTGAGGATATTGGACCCGTGTTCCTGGGAGGCCAACTTTTGAAAGGTCGGATTCGGTGCCGTCAATTTAAATAACATTTTGCGTTACGATGAAATTGAAATGGAACGGAGTGACTGCGGAGCATGTTTTTGCGTACGTGTCCCTGGCTTAGAGGGTCGTGATCCACAAAATGTGTCCACTTGTTTGTGTGATGCTGGGGACTGGGTACCGAACTAACAAGCGGGAGGTCGGGGTGGACCGGGTATGTTTGCGGTGACGGCGACGGCTTTGCCACACATGCCAATAAAGATGATGTCTGAAATCCAGGTAGCGCCGTGGACGAACAGCGGGGACTGAATGTTGTGGAGTGCATATTATGTTTATGCTCCAGTGCATTGGACGCGGGAGCAGATGTCTCGCTGACACCCTCGGTTGTACTATGAGACAGCAGGTTTCTACAAGCGCCAGGTCACCACTGTCATCATTATAATCATGAAAGATTAAGCGTTTCCGCGAATCCACCGCTAGTGGAGTTTAATCTCAAGATCATTAGCGAGACCGTGACGTCGAGATAAGCCACTATGACGTCATTACACTAGCAAATCGTGATGTCATATAAGAAGGCTTACTGACGCTAACATGCGTGCGGTCGCCTGGCATCCAGACTAGACAGCAGGGACTGCTCTTTGATTGATGGCTTGAAGCGCTTGGACCTCGCTGAGTTACCAAATTTCACGCTACCGGCTATGTCAAAAGCGTGGTTCATGAGCCTATGCCCAGTCCATACCGTCAGGAGCCTCGTTGCAACACGTTCATAGGGGCCTCCGTTTCGATACGTGCGCAGGGGCCTTCATTTCCGGGTCTCCTTTCGGTACGTGCGCGGTATGATTGCAGGTGGGGATGTTTGGACAATAGGCGCGTCCATCCGATGCATTATGTGCATTATGCGCACTGCTCGCGCCATGAATGGGCCTATTCAAGCCACCGCGGGCTGACCCGCCAGCTAATGCCTCCGTCCCGCTTGCACCCGTAGGCGCCACCATGCCCAGCAGCGTGTCATTTCTAGCGCCGGTTCGGCCGTTATGGAGTGGGCGGCGCTGACGCGCCGGAACCATGCGAGGATGATTAGTTTCGCCGGAGACTGTGAATTCCCGGGATCAACTGGAGATCGCCGCGGCTCAGCAGCGCTGTTCCCGGAATCTCACGCACCGGCCGGATCGGCGCCGGACCGCCGCCGGGACCGGAAGTGCGGCATTCTGAACAGAATCAGTTCGGCTATCTGTATCGGCAAGATGATGAGTGGACGCATCATCGGCAACATGGCAAGCTTTCCCCAGACAGCGCTCGGCTGACCGGAGAGTGGGAGGAGTGGCGTGGGCGACTAGACGGCCCACGTAGCGGCCCTTGGGACTGCCATGCCCCACAGACTGGCTCCTGAGACCGCGAGACCGGCGACCGTGGTGGCCGTGGGCCGGTCTGTTATGTGCGCACCTGGCGCCCCACGGGTCCTCGCGGTCCGCATGGTCACGGACTGGCTTGTGGCACTGCGTCACTCCGCTGGCCGGGCCGCGCGGGACCACGTTACCACGCTGGCCGGTCCGCGTGGCGCTGTGTTACCCCGCTGGCCGGTCCTCGTGGCACTGTGCTATCCCACTGGCTGGTCCGCATGGCGCCGCGTTACCCCCCTGGCCGGTCCGCGTGGCGCTGTGTTACCACGCTGGCCGGTCCGTGTGGTGCGTTACCCCGCTGGCCGGTCCGTGTGGTGCGTTACCCCGCTGGCCGGTCCGTGTGGTGCGTTACCCCGCTGGCCGGTCCGTGTGGTGTGTTACCCCGCTGGCCGGTCCGCGTGGCACCGCGTTGCCCCGCCGGCCGGTCCGCGTAGAACCATGACACCCGCTGTATTCCACCCCTGTATGGAACGCACCGCTGCGTGCTTCGGCTCATGCCCGCCAACGAACTCGGCCGCCATGCCCAGAGTCTCTGGCTGCCTGCCGGCTGCGTGCTTCGGCTCATGCCCGCCAACGAACTCGGCCGCCATGCCCAGAGCCTCTGGCTGCCTCCCGGCTGCCCTGTGCGTCAATCGTATCCAACTTTGATTGCCATGTTGCCTGATGGGAAAGCAGAACGCAGACAGCACTTTCGTGCAGGATGCATGGTGAGTAGTGTTGGGGTTTTTGTGGAGGTCGGCCGAGAAGCGTCTTCGCTTGGTTCCTCGCTTCCTAATCTTCATGCCTAAACGGCGGCGTTACAAACTAGCATAACGACGAAGCGATTAACTCATCAAGGGGTTTGCTGCCGCAAAAACTTTGTCATCAATTGGGGATATCCCGTGCTACCGGCAGTAGAAGCGTAGAGGCGACACACCGTGCACCTCGCGGAACCGCCGCGGAACGAGCGCGCGAGCGACACTAGACGCCGTGCGGAACCGCCGCGGAACGAGCGCACGAGCGACACTTGACGCCGTGCAGAACCGCCGCGGAACGAGCGCGCGAGCGGCACTAGACGCCGTGCGGAACCGCCGCGGAACGAGCGCGCGAGCGACACTTGGCACCGCGGGTGGCGCGGTGTCACCTGATCACCCGTCACGTGTCGGCCGATGATCTGAGCTTTCCGTCGGCGGGCGCCCGAGCTGCAGATGGCTAATCATCTCGGAGCTCGGTGACCCCGTGCCGCCGACGATAGGGCGTCAGGCACCAGTCGCTATGCGCCGCACATTGCCGAACACCGGGCCCGGAAGCGCCGTGGTACATCTGCCAGTCGGCCGGTGCTCCAGCCCAAGCACAGCTATTCTCAAGACTAGATTGGTTTCGCTTGGGTGGAGCTCCCATAACCGTTCGCGCCGCTTTGGAGTGAAAGATTCAGATAAGGGCGCAATGCTCCAAGAGTGGCTCGTTCGCGATGAGAGCGATTTTGCGCGTGTTTCCGGCTCTTCGTTTCGAATTGGCGAAAACCATTCGTTCTCAAGGTGGACACTTGTGCTGTGTTCTATTCCCGCATTGTAACATGCATCACTTGTCTAGACCACTATAACGGTGGATGTTACAACTGCAGGCATTTGACAGCCGTACCACGTACCAGCCCGTTTACTACAAAACGTACCATGGGTTTTGCTGTTTGCAATCAAGCGAATACACTCCTCTGACGAACAACAACCGCGGGATATAACTTACAATATTTGCCATTGTTTCAGTCACACTTCCTTGTTTCCTAGAGGCTAGCGTTTCAATGAAGCCATAGAGCGAGAAAGCGACAAATCGATGTCACGAAAGTTCAGGTTATGCTCGAAAGTCAACAGCAAACAGTCATCATGCTTCCGGCAGTAAGGCACTTTCACAATCACTGAGCCGATATAAAAGTAGAAAAGATCCCAATAGCCAGACCGAAACCAATACAGCGTGCAATAGATCAGAAGTGACGTGTGAGCACAACGCGATGCAACCAATTCAAAAGAACCAAAACTCGCTCCTGCTAAACACATTGGAATCGCGTTACTGCGTCACGCCCTCGGTCACGACGTTCCGTGACGTGCGAGCTGAGAGCCGGCGTCGATTTCACCGTGTCGCCGCAGAATGGCACGCGGTTAGGGAGGCCCGTGGCCCGGCAGACGGGCGCGGCTCGTTTCCGCCCGCTGCCAGCGCGTCGCCGCCCGGCCGGCGCCGCTCAGTCCGTCCCGGCTCAGCCCTGAGCTGGCCCCGAGGTCGGCGCTGTCGCCGCGTCACGTGCGGTCCCGACCCACGTGCCGGCGAGCGGCCGCTGCAGTCGCGGGCAGATGCCACTGACCCCCCCCGCCGTCCCGGTCCAGCGCAGCGTAACCCCGGCGTCAGGACATCGGCCGGACCCCAGCCGGCGCCCGTCGCCGACCCGCCGGCGACTACACCCAGTACTGGTTCTTGCGCAGGATCGGGTTACTCGGCTGGCTAGCGCTGACCTCCGAGCCGTCGTGGCTCCAGCCGTCGTCGCAGAACTGTCGGTCCGTGTCCACGTCGTACGAGTAGGTGAGCTCGGACGGCGGCGCGCCCGTGTAGAGCGGCGTCACCGTGCACTGCGGCACGCACGGCGACACGTCGCGCTCCGGCCAGCCGGGCTCCAGCAGGCGGGGCCGCTCCAGGAAGCGCGGCCGTGGCAGGCTGCCGTTGGCTGAGAGGCGCGGCCTGGACGCCATCGGCTCGGGCCGCGGCAGCGTGCTGATGGTAGACGGCCGCGGCAGGGTCGAGTTGATGAAGTCGGGCGTGGAGGCGCGGCTGGCCGAGCGCGGGCTCTCGGCCGCTGGCACCAGCTCCTGCAGCCGCGTCTGGCCGAGGTCGCGCGCCTTGCGCGCCGCGCGCCGTCGCCGGTCGGTGGCGCACTTGACGACGATCAGCAGCAGGATCGAAGTGATCACCACGCCAATCACCACGCCCGCCACCAGCACGTAGTCGCTGCGCATGAAGGAGGCCGCGTCGGCCGGCCGGTCGCGGCCCACCACCGAGTTGACGCCGGGCAGCGCCTTGTCGGCCTCGAGCGTCGCGGCGCTCACCAGCTCCACGGCCAGGCTGCCCCGCGCCGGCTGCACACCGTTCGCCGTCAGCTCGAACCGTACCGCGTCCGCCAGCGTCTCGTTGCCCTCGAGCGACGCGTCGGCCGCCACGAAGAAGATGATGTTCTGGGTGATGTCGGCGTGCGTGAAGGAGGTAACGTTCCATGCGCGCGCGGCGCGCCGCCGCCTCCCGGCCGGCAGCATCTGCGTGACGCGGCCGTGGCGCGGCGGCCGCAGCAGCCGGTAGCGGGGATCGCCACCGGAGCGCAGCGCCAGCTCCGAGGCGTTCAGCACCTCCAGGCTGATCAGCGCTGCGCGGCCGGGCGCGCAGCGCAGCGGCGCGAGCGTCACCAGCGGCCGGCTCGCCACCGAGAACGTCTCATTGCGCACGGCGTTGAACTCGTTGTACACGGAGGCGACGAACGAGTCGTTGTGCGCCTGCAGGTCCATCTGCATGTAGGCGACGCGGCCGTTGTCGATGTCGGCCTGCGTGAAGGTGGTGACGATGTCGGCGCCTACGAAGAGGCGGCCGTGCGCCGGCTCGACAGTCACGTTGAACACGACCTGGTCGCGCCGACCGTTCGTCTCAGGCGGAGACGTGCTGCGGGTCGAGCGTCACGCGACTCTGACCCTGTGTGATCGGCACCAGCTCGTTACGCTCGATGCTGAGCGAGAGCGGCACGACGGTGATGCCGAAGCCGGTGACGAGCGGACTGTGCTGGCCGTCCCACACGCTGAAGTAGAACTGGTCGGCTCCAAGCGAGCCGTCCTGGGCGTACAGCAGTCGCTCGCGGTCCACGTCTTCCTGGCTAAAGTTGCTGACACGCACGTGCGGCGTCTCCTTGAAGAAGACACTGCCACGGCTTGGGCCGTTGATGATGGTGAAGAGGATTTCGGCCGGTGCGTTGTCGGGGTCGGTGACAAGCAGGTTGTCCCGCCCGATGGCGGCCGTCTGCTTCTGCACGACCGTCAGACCGGGCGCAGTCGTCTGCAGCCGGAACTTCTGGTCGTTGACCGGCGTCACCGTCACGTTCACAGTGCCGTTGTACAGCAGAACGTCCGAGGTGGGCGTGGCCAGGAACAAGCTGTAGCCGAAGCTGTCGGCGCGCGTGTCCGAGTGGTCGTGCCGGTAGGAGAGCCGGCCGGCGCTGATGTCCGCCTGCGTGAGCGGGGCGTCTAGCCGGCCGCCGTCGTCCAGCCGCAGCTGTCCGTGCCGCGGCGCTGACGTCAGCCGCAGCCGCACGTCCGGCGCGCCCTGGCCGGCCGAGTGACCGCGCAGAAACTCGGCCACGCCGCCGACGTCGAGTACGGAGCGCGTGACGGGCGCGGCGCCGCCCTCCGGCAGCCGCAGCGGCGCGCTGTCCACGTAGCGCTGCAGGCCGCCACCGCTCGTGGTCGTCACGGAGACGGCGATGCGCAGCCGGACGCGGCGCAGGGGCTCGGCCGGCGGCGTCTCGACGCGCAGCTCGACGCTGTCCTCGGCCGAGAGCGCGCCCAGCGGCCGCCGGTGCTCGTACAGCACCAGGCTGCGGTTTAGCTCCTGCTGTGTAAACCAGCTTATCTCGGCCGTGCTGCCGTCCGGCTGCTCCCTGGAGGAGTAGCGCCAGTCAGAGAGGACAGCGGCTGTAGAGCGCAAGGTATATCACTTGTGCAACTGAAAATAAAGCATGGCACCAGGACGTGTGTAGCACGCGTACACGGCAGCACATACAGTACAGAGCAGTACATACAGTACAGCAGATTGCTGGGAGCCAGAATTGTACATACAAGGTCACTGAGACATTCGGTATCCCAGCAAAGGCAGCGCTTGGTGCCCACAGAAGCGAGCTCATGGATACTGCATTGGGTTATTGAAGAATTTGAACTGTTAACAAGCTAACGACAAAATGCGGGAAATTGCACTGCCCTCGGTGGATCTCCTAAATGCTCTCTGGCAGTGAGATATCCCATGTTCGTCACTATTCTCACCGTAATTGTATACGCAGCTAGTATTGTTCCTGATGCCGTATTATTTCCCATATTTTCGTTTCGACAAAATCCCTAGACAGACCCTATCTGAAGACTGCCTTCCAAACATACGAATTGATGTCCTAAAGGGTTCGGAGGTACTTACCTCAGTTACTAATTGTCCTCCACCCGTTGACCGCTGCCTAGTGTTAGCTGCAGGGCCGATGCCGCGTGGCTCGTGGAGACCGCAACGTCGGGCGCCGGGGTTTCTGTTTCTAGACTTACTTACGAGTGCGCACGTTCAGAGCTATGATGTTACACGTTTTTACAACGAATGCATGTTTTGTGACCGCACAAAGTTACATATACATAAGTCCTAGACAGACCCTAGATGGGTTAATCGGTAGAAGGCAAAGGGCTTTTGCCGTCTCGCCCACTTGGTACCATTCAGTGCTGTCCGCAGAGCTATTCCAGCTATACGGCGTCTCGGCTCATCAAGCCCGTTTAATGGGTGTCTGCGTCGTCAAGTGCGAGCATAACTTCCGGGACTTAACCTTAAAAAACGAATAACGCATCCAATTGAAATCTGGCCGCCATCCCTGTCAAAGCAGCCACACAGTGTATCTATGCACGGGTCTCAGCGCCCCCGCCGTGCTTGGAAAGAATCCTGAAATGCTCGTTCTTTAAACGTAGCAAACACAATATACGATTTGCTCTGTATTTCCTCTGCGGTGTCAAAACGTCGCTCCACCAACTCGAACCTTATCTTGGAGAAGAACGAGAAGTCACAAGGAGCAAAGTCCGGTGAGCAAGACGGGTAACAAGTGACGATGATATTGGTGATACCAAAAAACTCAGTGTTTTCAGCGCGTTATGAACGTGTGCGCTGTCGTGCTGGAGCGTTTAATCGTAATAACGGCAGAGTCCTGATTGTCTGCGCCAAGTGTTCTCGCTGAGACGCCTTAGAGCGGTGTAGTTGGACCTGGCATTGACGGTCTGACCTTGGAGCACAGATTCACGGCGCACAAACTCGCGGCTGTTAAAAAATCAAGAATATTTCAAATCGTGTTCCCAATCTGCCTGTCTGAAGAATAATATTGGGTGCCAGATGCTCCACGTGACAGCTCGAATACCTACAGTGCTTCGAAAACGAGCGAGTCTTTTGGACGCACTAACGCCGTCGTCGCCTTGCACCCACCCTCTTCACCGGATCTGATTATCTGTGACTTCTTCCCATTCCCAAAGATAGCGTTTAAGCTGGAGGGTCGCTATTTCAGCGGAGGAGATAAAGAATCTGGATGTCCGCCGTACATGAAGGAGATCCCGCGCGAGCCGCAGGTCGTGGCTGACACGTTTAAAGAACAAGGTTTCCAGAGTCTCCATACACAGCCTAAGATTTGTGTGTGTGTGGGGGGGGGGGGGGGGTAATGAATCGCTGCACAAGGTGATCACTTCGAAGTGGAGGACGGTCAAATTTAATTAAGATAACTCTACATTTTCACCATTTTCTCGAAACTTTTTTACCTCACCCAAATGCATGTGAAGTAGGCGGGTTATTGTTTAACATATTTTTCGAGAAGAATTTCCACTGGGAACTTAACTGAGCGGTCCGTCGCATTTACGCCGGTGCGGCAGTTTGATAATATTATTGTTCTCGCAGGATGCCATTGGAACAAGCTTTCATAGCTCCAAAGCCCGACGGCATAGCTGAAGCAGTATCGACAGCATCTCGACAACGTCGCCAACAAGTTGATGTCAGTCGGCGCGCCGCAGCCGATGCCGGATGGCGGTCATGAGCTAGAGGTGTACCGGCCCGGCAGGGGCGCATCCAGAGCCTTGGCAAGAGAGGGGGCACTGGGTTAAGAAAGGGCCACTTGATGGTTAAAAGTCGCCCCCCCCCCAACGCAACTTTGTGCGGTCGCAAAACATGCATTCGTTGTAAAAACATGTAACATCATAGCTCTGAACGTGCGCACTCGCAGGTAAGTCTAGAAAACAGAAACCCCGGCGCCCGACGTCGCGGTCTCCGCGAGCCACGCGGCATCGGCCCTGCAGCTAACACTAGGCAGCGGCCAACGGGCGGAAGGGAATTAGTAGCTGAGGAAAGTACCTTAAAACCCTTAAGGACATCAATTCTCATGTTTGGAAGGCAGTCCTGACGGATAGCAACGGATTAGCATTTACAACACCGCGAAATGGTGCTGAAATCTGGTAATGGATTAGAAGAGTAAACGTACACTTTCGGGCTGCTGTAACCGTTTATCTGTTCAGATACATCCTCAATACTATGAAGATGCATTGTGAACCCTAGCCAAATCTTTAACAATGAGAACTGATTTTGAAATTCTTTCAAAACAGTACTTGATGACACGTTATCGCGGCTGGCGCTCGCCGCCCGGTATTGCCTGCAGCGGACAACACCGTTCAGTTTTACTGAAACTGCAACCCGACCATAGCTCTTCTTGCTCCCAGGTTGTCTTGCGCGCCTGATCAAAACGCTTCATGCAGTTTGTTTCACTAGTTGGTTCTACAAAAAAATGAACATTCCCAGGCAAAGATGTACTGGCCTTTTCTTCGTGTCGTACCTCAATTCCATCCATTATTTTGAACACTCATGAGAACCCCACATTTTTTTTTGGGGGGGGGGAAATAGGCTCGTAGATAAAACACTAGCGGTCACATCATCGCCCCCAGCCAAGAGTTTGATACGGGCTCGGGTGGGGTGGGAATCAAATTGACCCCTCCCCCGAAGGTTTTCCAGAATGGTTTCCGAACGGCGCGGCGTAGCCGCGCCAAATTTTGCATAGCTGTCCAAAATTGAATAGCGGATCGTTTGGCATCAACAATTTAGATGTACCTTGTAAGTTCGCTGACCTATGGCAGGTCAAAGTCAGGCCAGGGTTTCAGCGAAGGCAATTTCTAGGGAATCCTCCGATCTGATCCAATAACGGAATGTTGGACGAAGCCATGCATCTCTGAGATGCTTTTTTAGACAACACAACAGTTGAATGAGCAAATTATATTGACCTAAAATCAGGTATGAAGGTCACGTCAAGGTCAAAACCAACCTGTTTTATTACTCTGGGGCTTGCTGTATGGGATAGCTTCTGGTGCTCATTTCGAGTTTATTGATAGCAGAAACCACATTATACATCTTCCATGGACTTCTTTGAGGTCAGAACAGGCTATTGGCCTGAAATGACCCAGGTCAACATTTTGTCTTAGGAACATAGCGTAATCTTTGTCGCTTAGTCGAATGCAAAACTCAAAGCAATCTTGTATGATTTTGGTCATCTTGACCTTCAAAAGGCCAAACAAGGTCACTGACCTTAATAAGAATGCAACATTTTGCTTAGAAACGGTTATCTACGTTCTGGGGCACTTTGGAGACCAACCTGGAACTTGACCTTGTTCGACCTTTTGACCCTTAGGTCATGACCTAGGAATCTGAAACTTTAACCTAAGTGAGTTAACGTACAAGTCAACACACCCTGTAAATTTGGTGTCTCTAGCTTTCTGAGTTCCCGAGATCTCAGGGAGGGATCAAATTGACCCCTCACCCGAGCGCAGGGTATCTAGCCGACCACCCGGGCGCGTGTTAAGGGCCATTTCTACCAGCGTGGAAGCCCTCGTTGACTCAACAGAATCCCTTATCGCCGCAGTTGGTTCGATAAGTAGCACAGACTCCAGTTCGGCTTAACGGTCCGTTGGCTGAAATGGGTTGGCAGGACCCTTGACATCCTGGGGACACAATCGAAGCATTGTCCTTCCCTCGCATTTCCTCACCGTGGACTCTCATTATAACTTTTCGTATATCCTTGCATTGACAGGGGAAAGATTGTCAGCAAGAGGCCCTCTGCACCTGTCACCGAAATTCCGGACCCTGTCCCTGTTAAGCAAATGCTCCACTGGCGGACTTGGGACCTCTGCCGACACGGAGCCCTTGTCGGGCACTGGGGCTGCCAACCTCCACAAGGGCCCCTCATTGTTGCAGGGGCCCCGACTTATGCAAACCGCTGGTCCCGGTCCCCTCCATGCTTGGGAAATGGACCCCCAGGGCTCGGAGCGACACGGAGCCAACTTTTCAGCGTTGGTGGTCTCTGGCCTAAATAGAGACCTGTATTGTGCCATGGGGTCCTCAATCGGTGAAAGAGTTCCTCTATCTGGCATTCAAGGTCACAGCCCTACAGGCCCGGATCTTTAATGGGACCTGCTGCAAGCCCTTCGTGCCCTTCATCGTCGGTCCCGAAGAGCCCATCGGGTTACTCTTTGGGCCCCCTCGAACACTATTTCTGGCCGACTCGGGCCTCTTACCAACACGGAACCCTGTGGTAGGCAATGAGGGCTCCTGGCCGCTACATGGGCTCAAGTGCACTCAATGGCCCTGACTAATCTTAACCGCGGTCTCCTGCTTTGTTTTTGTTTGGGAAATGGGCTCTTAGGCGCAGGCGGACACGGAGCCCACTGTCCGGTACGGGTGGAAACTGGCCAACATGGAGGTCCTCATCGACTCAGGGCAGTCCCAACGGTGGTCCTGAGAGGTCTTTCGAGGCCCTCAGGACCTAAGGGAGAAAACGCAGGCGCCCCCTGCGCCCCCTTGCCTACGTCACTGCAGCCACTGCATATAGGTCACGGTATCTCACTAAAATAGTCACTGCTCATTCTGGCATTGAAGAAATCACGCTGCCGAATAAATTAGCGCGTGCTCTCAAAATGGACGCCATCCTCACTCCACTTGTCAACTAAACGGCAACATGCACGATTTATCACTCATTCCTTTTGGATCAGTCTCAGAAGTAGGGACGGCCGCTTGGAGTGGCTTTGCGAAATCTGTCAAAATACTTCACCGAACCGTCCACAAATTATCAAGAAAGTCACGCAATCTAAAGCCCACTATGCAATGAACAAATCTCTATCGCTGATGGCGAATCCGTCGGCAAGCAGTGCATCCACCTCAGTGGTCGCAAAACCTTGTTTATTTGTTTGCTAAGTTATTTAACTGGCTGAAACTTCTCACGAATCGACTGGCTTCGAAATTTTCAATCAACCCAAGTCATCTCGACCATCAGCGTCAAAGGACCGGCGTCAACCCGCCGCCGCCGTACAGCGAGCGTCCCCGCACCCACCTCGTGATCTTGCCGAGCTGTGGCTTCCTGATGACCGAGTACGTGATGGTGCGCGGGGTGCGCGGGTCGTTGGTGCGCACCAGCAGGTGTCCCTTGGTGATGGACTGCTGCATCATGGGAAACACGTGCAGCTGGGTGTTGGCGACAAGCTGGAGCCGCAGCCGCTCCACGCGCACCGAGCAGCTCTCGGGCGGTGTCTGGTGGACGCCGTCGCTGACGGTGACGCGCAGACTGCAGCGGCTCGCCTCTGCCGGCGAACAGGGGCGGCTGAGGTGCCGGAGACGCAGGGGCACGCCTCTGTCGGCGAACAGGGGCGGCTGAGGAGCCGGAGACGCAGCGGCACGCCAGGGCAACTCGGACACGGTGGAGACGCAGGGCACACCAGAGGCGACCCGAACACAGGTGCTGACGGAGACGCAGGGCACACCAGAGACGGCCCGGACACGGGCACCGGAGACACGGACCACACCAGAGACCGCACGACACAGGTAGTCACGGAGACGTAGGCCATACCAGAGACGACTCGGACACGGTCACCGGAGACGCAGGCCACACACCAGAGGCGACACGGACACGGGTAGTGACAGAGACGCAGGGCACACCAGACACGAACCGGACACGGGCGCCGGAGACGCAAGCCACACCAGACACGACACGACGCAGGTAGGAGCGGAGACGTGGGGCACACCAGACACGACTCAGACACGGCCACCGGGGACGCAGAGCACACCAGACACGACCCAGACACGGGCTCTGACGAAGATGACGGATGGACGTCCGCAGAAGGTGACCAAGGCGCAAGGAAAAACGAGTAAGCACGAGAAAAGCGATGAAGTCAGCTCGCTATGTTCGCGGGGAACAAGAATCAGCGCACACCAGACCAACAGCGATCGATGCTTCTTTCAGTATATACACACGACGCATTAACGATATTAATCGGGCCTCCTCTAACAACGTGAACGTGAACGTATTTCTCTAACATTATCTTTCTATAGCCCCTAACGCAAATGTGGCGTGGACCACCCCACCCGGGCCAAAGAAGCGCGTGGGTCGGCCAAGGAAGCGCGTCGGTCGGCCAACAGCGGGTCTAGAGTGCAATCTTAGAATAAGCCTGGTTCTATTACTGTCGAGAATTTCTAGAAAGGCGTAACCAAATGGGAAGTTGTCTGCCTTTCACCACCTATCTTCGCTCTCCCTCCCACCAATGGCTCCCCATCCCCCTAAACTTGCTCTGCGCTTTACCACCTCTCTTCGCTTACCCTCCCACCAATGGCTCCCCATCCCCCTAAACTTGCTCTACGCTTGCAGCGGACAGTACCCAGCGTCAGAACGCGGATGGCGGGAGCGCGAGCGGTGGCTGGCATGGGAAATGACGGGATAAAAAACTAATTGTACAACACAAGGCAAGACATCATAACGCGTGGATCAAATTTGAATCAGTCCGTTTTTAGCACGCATTTGGCATGATGATTGCAATATTTTTGTTAAAACCAACGTCGATGGAACTAAGTTAACGCTAGGGATCATTTCTTTGTAGGTTTCTGTACATAACTCAATGCCACGATTTATTCTTCTTGATTTGCTTGTGATGTGATGTATGTGCTCCACTAATTGCTATTTGAACAGAATGCTGAATTCGAGAAAATGTCAAGGTCGAAAGGTTAACCTCAAGCAAGAATGCGTTTTTCGCACCAGTGCGTTTTCTTCGAGTGCGTCTCGATCGAACAGTTATTTGTGAATTTATTCCAGCACACGCGATCGACAGCTCAAACAACTCTTCCGGGCCACTAGGTCCGTACATCCTGCACTTTTCGCCCGCCCGGGGCTCAGGCATGGCAAAAAGGGGGTGCGCTACAAACGGTGTAAGGGATCACGGCAAACGACGCATACACTAGGGACCGACGGGGAGGACGAAGGCAACGGAACGATGGGGACACTTACGGTACAGGAGACGACGAAGACACGTGAGACTGACAGAGCCACGGCACAACTGAGACGTGGTGGACGACGGAACCACGCGAGTTGACGGAACACGCGAGACAACAAAGGTACGGAAGACGGACCAAGATCCAGAGACTGTTGCGGCTCACTTCCAAGTGTGGTTGGCATATTGCCGTGGAGAGCAGACAGGCGACAAAAACTATTGCTGGCAGAGACGCGTGAGACTGGTGAGGACATCAACGACTGATGGTGGCGGAATAGTCTAACCAAATGGAGGAACTAGTGAGAAGGGCTACCGAAACCACCGTGGACTGCTTCAGCCGCACTACCGCGGCGGCTTGCTTATACATCAGGCGGCGAACAGAATCACAGATCTGACAGCTGCCCAGATCGACAGCCACGCCTGCGAGACTGACATTTTCCGTGTGGCCATCACATCCCGAGGCCAGATGGCCCAGCTGCGGGCGGCCGCCTCTGAGCCCGGCCGCCAAGGGCGACTGAGACGCAGTGCCTGCTCGACTGTCGGCCGTCAATACTCTCGGACAATGCCGCCAGCCGGCCACGCTCGCTCGTCGATCTGTGCAGATGGGACCCGAGGGAGGGCGCCGGCCAATCGAGCCCATACCCTCATCCGTCCCTGCCCTCCTGCCGCAGCCGGCGCGGCGATAGCGGCACGGTGTCAAGAGACACGGGCGCGGCCTGGGGTAGTGGAGTCTGTATTAAAGCTGTGCACCGTCGCCCAGCTTCTTGCTACCAGGGCTTCAACCTAATAATAAGAAGTCGCTGACAGAATTTGTTACTACTCACGTAGGAAGCCTTGCTTGTACCGTGTCATTGGCGGCTGTGGCTGAGGGCCAGCTTTGAGCAGCTGCGCTCTGGAAGATCGCGACCACGTACGACGGCAGACGGGACCAGGGCGAGAGGACACGCCCGTAACATGACGGCTGGCGGCCGGGTCGGCCCCGTCCGGGAAGCATTCTGATGCTACCGGTGAACGAGTGCCGTAAATTCCGATATCTCATTAGAGGAGCGCCTCCCACCAAAGCGGTCAATTAGTCGGCTCGAGGCGGCGAAGGAGCCGTCTGGTGCCTCGAGGGCTGGCCGAAGCGCGGCGCACCCGACCCAGCGGGGGCCTATGATCAACGGGCAAGGGGGCTTACGACCGACAGGCTGGGTGCACTGACCGACTGGCTGGGTGCTCCGACCGACTGGCTGGGTGCTCCGACCGACTGGCTGGGTGCTCCGACCGACTGGCTGGGTGTTCCGACCGACAGGCTGGGTGCTCCGACCGACTGGTTGGTGCCGACTGGATGGTGGCTTCGACTCTTACCCCCCCCCCCCCCCAGGGGGTCTCGGTTCATAAGGATGTTACAGACCCCGCCTTGAAACAAGCTGGCTTTGTTCGGGAACTCCAAGCCACGACTAATTCTGCCCACTCGGCCAGGTGTTTGGTGGCTTCCGTTGTTCGCTGGGTGTTCCCACCCAAAGTCAGACCTGAGTCGAGTCGACCTGGCTGAATATCCTGACTAATGGCTATAGCCATGCTACAAAATTTATAGAAAAATGCTATGACATTGAGCCCGACCTATCTGGGTGTCTGGACTAACGAGAAGCATTTCTTCTGATCTTTCAGTGTGTTTCGGAACAGCACTCATTCACTTGGGTATCGGACAAAGAGAAATTGGAGGCGGGTAGACGGTGCTATCTGTACAGTGTCGTTGAGCTCTAGAATGGTTCACTTCCGGAATTTCGCGCTCTGTCACTTACGTTTTTCAAGTGTGAACTGTGCCATCATTTGGCTGGAACTTGATGAACATGTGTGTTTGTGCGTGTGTTGTGTACCTGAGGCTGGTTTTGTGTGTGGCTTTTATGTATTCCTGAAATGTGTTTTGTATGTGTGTCTTTAGTGTATTCCTGAGGTTTGTGTTTTGTATGCGCGCCTTCGATATATTCCTGAGGTGTGTGTTTTGCAGGTGTGCCTTTGCTATATTCCTGGGTTGTGCTTTGTGTGTATGCCTTTGATGCATCCCTGTGTGATTGCTGCTACGAGTGTCATTAACACGTCTCTCCTCTAATCCTTATCAAATTGACTTATCGCAAAATAGTAATTTTATGTTTCTCAGTGTTTTAAATGTCAACATAACGATCCCATTCTGTCCAGCACGGCTGTTTGAAGCGGGCGTAAAGAACACCGAGAGCAGGCGAAAGAGACTGAACTGTGGCGAAGAGGCCTGAACTAGTAGCTTTTAATGACAGCTCGAATGTTAGCATTGCGCCAATTTAAGTGGAAGTTGTGCTGGCAGCCGCCCGCCTGTCACACACATTCTCCACCAATGAGCCTCGCCGGCGACGGCGGGCTGACCCGCCTCAGCGTGGCAGGAGGTCCGGGTCCCCACTGACCTCGCTGGGTGTGGCTGAAGACGACCTGGCCGCCGGCCAGCTGACTGCGTGACAGGAGGTCCGGGTCCCCACTGACCTGGCTGGGTGTGGCTGAAGACGACCTGACCGCCGGCCAGCTGACTGCGTGACAGGAGGTCCGGGTGTCCACTGACCTGGCTGGGTGTGGCTGAAGATGACCTGGCCGCCGGCCAGCTGGCTGCGCGTGAAGTTGGAGACCGGCACACCCGGCTCCGACTGGAGGCTGACGTTGCCGCACTCGGAGCGGGTCACGGAGAAGGTCAGGTCCACTGCCGGCCGGTCGGCGTCCACCGCGTCTGCAGGGCAAGGTGCAGTCAGGGCGCCAGGTCCACAGCACGTTTGCACCTCGCGGCGCTGGCAAAGCAGGCCAAAGTCAACATTGAGGGCGGTGCCTGCACAACATAAAATGATGGTCATGACAGTGCTTGTGAAAAAACACAGGGACTGCGTTCACGCGTCCTCTTCAGCCAATGACAAGCTATATCAATCACGGGGTTTGTGGACTTTGTTTCCGATGGGAAGGCGATCAGTTTCCAGGAAAGTTGGGCTGCAAAAAATGCAATCGCAGTAATGCAGCCGACCCCGCAGTTACAAAGAGAGGCATGCCACATCAGGCGGCGGGCATGGCAATGCGCCTCTCTGGCTTGGAAGCAGAATCTTGGCAAGGGCAGCCATGTCACAGTGCTACAGCATATCAACGGTCAATACCGATTTCAGCTCTTGACTCACAAGACTGGGCCAGACTTCTCCGCAGCTTGATTGTCTTGCTGGTGTGAAGGAGACAGGCTAGGATGGTGCTGGGACTGTTTGAAATGGCAAGTTGTGTGTATCACCAACTGCCGACGAACATTATCGCCGCTCTACCTGAGAAACGCGAGCGCCCGCAACACGACGGCCGTCGCGCAATTTAATGATACCCACACTGCCTCCGAACAGAATCCCAGCACACCAAAACCCCTGCGTATCATTAGAAGCGAGAAGAGAAGGGCCGACTCCCGCACGCGGTGCCGTCCCTTCAGTCTTCACGCTCCTTCAAACGGCAGATGCACCGACGCTGCTGCGCTGCTCAACACCTCCGGTCCATGGCAGCTTTGGACCCAGGATTGGCAACATCTTACGAATATCGAGACTCAATACCCATATGATCGAAATTCAAACTTAAACAACACCTTACTGGCGTGGTCATTCACATGAAGACCAAAAATGTCATGTTCTAAGCCGTTCCCTCTACCATAAGACCAGAATTTCAATGCTGCATGAAAAAACCGTATAATTCCGATCTTGCGCGAGCTGAGTCAAGGTAAACAACTCAATATTGATCTGAGAGGTGACGATGTGACAATTGCGCGGGTAGCTTCCAAGCATAACTTAGTCAAACCAAACGATTCGCATGAGATTTTCCAACGAACGCAGGGACCTGAGGGATGACCTAGTGACGTCACTAGGTGCGGTGTACGCCGCCGGCCGGAGACGACTGTAAGTGTGGGTCGGGGCCGCGGCGCACGCCTGGCCGGTCTCAGCTGGTGGGCCGCGAGACTGGGCCGTGGGTCGTTGGTTCGCTGGCGGTGAGGACTGCTTAATTTTCTCAGGCGGAGGCACCTAGATTCAAACGTTCCGCTTTTACGCCAATCCAACCAACATATCATGTCATGCTGCATCCTGCTCATAACCGGAAATAAACAACAAGCAGCGGAACCGAAAACAGACCTTCAACCGAGGCATTAATGTTTGCAAGACAAAGACGGCCAACTGCCGACGACTGCTCGAGTCGTGACTGAAGGACGGTACAGAATAACTTTCCACTATCTACTGCAGCTAAGTCGCCTCCCTTTCGACCTACTTCACACACGCACGAGGAAAATATTTTTCCCTTAAGCGTAGCGGAAAAGATTTGAACCATGTCGTGTTAATCTAGCGTTTCCACCGTTGCGGCGGTGGCGCTTCGCCTCTCACATAAGTGTCGGCGAGGAAATCTGTGGGCAAAGTTGCGGGACATTTTGGCGTTTGGAGTGGCGGCTGGTTCGCCGGCAGCGACGCCGACACCCCCTCCCCCTCCAGCGGGGGTGTCGTCGAAGCCGACGGCGGGCGCCACACCGCATGAGACGCCCGGGCGCTTAGTACGGCCCACCCGAGTGACGGTCCAACCAGCGCCAGCCAGGGACTCCACGGGCTGACGAGGGGGTAAGGGAAGCCCGAAACGTTCAACGGAGTCAATAATTCCATAATTCAAAACTATACAGGTTAGAGAGACTGAGTGGTGTGCCTGGAGGCATATGACCAAGAAAGAAAAACGCGGCATACAACGGTATTCCGGTATCACCTCGTTGATGATTAGATTTTTGCAGGCACGTGTTTGCGGAACAGCGCGAAGCCCCAGCGCCCTTACGCGTGCGTCACTGGCGGCTGACCTCGCACGACCGACGGGTCAGGAGGTCAGAGTCTGCGGGGCGGAGGCCGGGCCAGCAGCCGCAGCGTCTGTGTCTTCTCGAGATGGCCCATCGAAAGGGGCGGGGGTTCGTCTCTCGGAGAGATAATGCAGATCTGATAGCTTCATTGGAAGATAACTCCATCTGGAGATGAATAGCTTTGGCTGGCTTTCAAATTCATCGCTGGGCACGGGAAGCGGGGGCGACTGGTGCAGCGGTCCGGAGCCCAGTGATCGACATCCTCTGCTGCTGCCGGCATTTGCTTACGCATACGCAGGAACATCAGAAAAGAGTAATGATCTCCGTCCGACCGTCATGCCATTTGTAATGATCGTGGTCCTTGTATAATGCCCTTCATTCCTCCCAGATGTTGCACATTCAGGTGTTATGTTATGATTATGGGTGCATAGTTTTTTCAGTTAGTTTTCCCGCTTGCCCGTTCGTCTCACTGCCAGACAGACCTTGCAGCCCGGCCCTCCCAACTTGACAGATCCCTCCCAGATTAGATGCGCTGCTCAAGTAAATCCTAACAATTCGAGAACAAAATGCACTGTGTGGTGATATTTGGATTCCGCCAGGCCAAACCAAGTACCTTCTGCAAACTGAAATGTATGAAATCCGATGAGAAACTAGCATTAGGGGCACCCTAAGCTGATTGACCCGCGGCAAAGCTCCCATCCCAATTCATTTCGAGCATCAATACTCTTGAATGATGCCTTTCTTAACGCCGAGATGCTATTGTGGATATCTGGGCTGCGCACACAAGGCTGACTTGAAACGTCACGCTTACGAGCGGTCACCACGCAGGTAATGAGCAGAGTGCAACAAGAGAAGCCTGCCAGTCGCCACAGGACGCGGCCAGTAACTGCCGTCAGTCACTGCCGCCAGTCACTGCCGCGCCAGTCGGTCACTGCAGATGGGTGGCCGGCTCTTCTGGCCCGACCCGCCAGACCGTGGGGCAATGCGGTACAGCCTACCTAACCACCACGCCCGCATGTAAACAGCGCCTCATCAGTCCGTGCTCACGGCCCCGCGAACTGCGCTCTGCTCCACCCTGTCTCGGTCTTGCGTCCGGGTCACGCGCTCCGGGCTTTTCCGCCTGGTGTCGCGCCCTCTGCCGTTGGGCTCTCCGCTCGGCACGCCGCATTCGCCTGCCACCAGGAGCTTGGCGCAGCCACGTTCGCCGCCACCAAGAGCTTGGCGCGCCACGTTCGCCCCCGCCGAGAGCCTGGCGAGTCACGTTCGCCGCCACCGACAGCTCAGCGCGCCGCCTCCGACAGCTCGGCGCGCCGCCTCCGACAGCTCGGCGCACCGCCCTTCGATCCCGTCGCGCTAACCGGGCGCCGATAGCGCATGCAAATCAGCTGGCGGCTGCGGCCGACGCGCCTGCTAATCTATGAATGGCTCAATTACCGGCGCGACACAGTGCCCATAATCGGAGCCACTTCTGCTCCACTGGGTGGCGCGGGGGCAGGGCGCGGCAGATTGAAGCGACTGCTCAATATGCTGCGCTAAAGGCCGAGGCAAACGTCGCTATGGAGGCTGAGATGGAGTCGTTATAGTGATATGATGTAATTAACACACCAAGCCGACATAGTGAGGAATGGCGAAAACTTAGGCAAAGAAATTGAACAAAGTTTACGCCAATGGTTTGTTAAGGATAGTACTTAACTCGGCTCGTGTCCTGTCATGCTTTTCATGTGCACGCACGAATGTTCGTACATCAATGCAAAGCACGAATGTTCGTACATCAGTGCAAAGCACGAATGTTCGTACATCAATGCCAAGTTGAACAGTCTATTGTCCTCCACTTTTTGACTCTGCAAGTCGCCAGTGATCGATAAACTTGACGCGTTGACTGAGGCAGAAGCCACGCGGGAATTTGTTGGCCCCGCGCGACAAAGCAGAGGGGAGTGGCGATATTTTTCCGTCGCCAAACAATGTGTGAAAAGAATCGTTTTCTTTGATGTCTCTCGCAAAAAGCTCTCCATGTGGCGGCCCGGCGACGCTTTTGTTCGGGCTGGCCTGTCGTGCGCGCCGGAGCGCCGGAAAGAAGTTCCCATCAGAGGCGAAAACACAGACGTTGCTTTCGGCGGGCATCAGCCACCGACGATCCCGCGAGATGGCGTCCTAAAGTACACTCACTTTACTCATCTGCCTTCAAATGATTTAAAAGGAATGCGAAAACATGTTCTGGTGGAAAGTTTTTCAAATATCCTAGCTAATCCAGCATGCGTGATTTGCGGCTCATAAAAAAGACATTTCGGCAGTAAACAGCCGACGGATGCCTAGCGTGCCGTGCACCTCCAAACAGCCTCCACAACCTCAATAATACGCTCGCTCGTCGCAGACGGGGAACTTTGCGCCCCAGGAAACTAAATAAGACTTGGAGAAAGCAGGCCACCACGAAAAAAAACGTAATCAGATTTGGACCACAACTTTGATGAGTTAAGAGGAGCGTCCCACGACGGTGGTGGCATGGGGTCACCTACTATTCATCGACTTCAGTCGTTCACCTCAATAAACCACGCGCCGGCACCGTACCATTTTAGCGCCCTCGAGATTACACCACTTTCATCTGTATTCCAGAGCGCTGCGCACCGCGCGAGGTAGCGGCCGCCGCGTATAACACAGGTCCGTCGCCTCCGCATGATTCGTCGCCACACATGTAATAGGAATGCGCGACAATGGACAGAACCAGTGCTGCCGTGCCAAGCTGCCCAGGGCTCCGCGAGAGCCCGGATTTGTTCAGGCAGCTCCGGCTCCTGAGCCGACTGAGGACTTACTGGGGTGGCCGGGATGTACCGAGGACCGGACGGCGACGTACCGAGCCGGCCACGAACGTACTGATCGGACCGAGCACGTACCGAGCTGACCGAGGACGTACCAAGCTGGTCGGTGGTGATGGCCACGGCGCCTCCCTCCACCACCACCAAGCCGCTGTTATTGACGAGGCTGGGCGGATGGTCGTTCACGCCGGTTATGACGAAACAGAGCGGGCCCGGAGCCGACGTCTTGGAGTCAGCGCTGACCACCAGCGTCAGACAGTCCTCGCGGAACTCGTCCCCGCTGTGCACATACTGAAAACGGTCAGGTCAGGTCAGGTCAGGTCAGGGGTCTGACTGTGACGACAGGTCAGGTCAGGGGCCTAACGGTGATGGCAGGTCGGGTCAGGGGTCCGACGGTGACGACAGGTCAGGTCAGGGATCTGCCGGTAACGAGAGGTCAGCTCAGGTCATGGCTCTGTCGAAAACGGCAGATCAAGTCAGAGCCCTGACGGTGATGAAAGAACGGATGCTTAACGATAACGGTTAACATCGTCGCTTGAACGTATGAGAGGGTCAAAGCGCCTGACACTACCTGTTCCTTACCCGCGGCCCTCCGGGAATGTGTACAATGGCACAATGAGCGATGTATCAGCGTGGTAACGGTTAGGGCGGAAGATGCTCGGGAGCGGTGTAGTGAGGCTTTGCATGACGCAGCTGCGCTCCGTTACAGGTGGTGGCATTGCCTATTACAATTTGTGGATGTGAGGCAGCGAGTCGGTGGAAGAGGTCCTGAGAAAGTATTAGGAACCTAGCGATTTAGAACGCCGATGAATTATGGCTACGGTAGGGGAAGAGCGAAATTGTCAGCACGAGTATGAGAACGACGTGGCGAGCATATCGCTGTGCAATGCCCTAAAACCCGGCAAGAACTGACCTTCACGCTGAATAGCTGTGCTCAGACTCAGCGTCAAGGGTCTTCAAAGGACGCAGCGGTCCACGGGGGTCAAATGGGACGTTAAAAGCCTTAAATGGCGTTGTAACGCGGCTACGGCACCGTTAAGGCAGCACCAGGAAGATCAAATGCGTTGTGAGCACCGCCCGACGGAGGTCAAGTTTGCCATGCCGGGAGCGCGACGTTTGACAGATACACCACACCATAAACAATATCCGACACCACACAGGATCGCCGAGTTCGGTACCAGACAGCTAGACAGTTTCACTGGGTTCAGCAGCAAGCTCCAGACAGATACGCCGGACTCAGCAGCTGTTACCACAGATTTACCGGACTCGTCAGCCGTCATCAGACAGATTCACCTGGCTCAACAGCTGGCAGCAGACATATACGCCGGGCCCAACAGCCGCCACCAGGCACACTCACCTGGCTCGACAGCTGGCAGCAGACATATACACCATGCTCAACAGCCGCCACCAGACACACTCATCTGGCTCGACACCCATCACCAGACAGAGTCTTCAGGCTCGGCAGCCGTCCCCAGACAGATTCTTTGGGCTCAGCAGCCAGCACCAGACGCATTCACTAGACTCGGCAGCCGGCGCCAGACAGGTTCTTCGGGCTCAGCAGCCAGCACCAGACAAATTCACTAGACTCAGCAGCCGGCGCCAGACAGATTCACTAGACTCGGCAGCCGGCGCCAGACGGGTTCTTCGGGCTCAGCAGCCAGCACCAGACAAATTCACTAGACTCTGCAGCCGGCGCCAGACAGATTCACCACTCGCAGGCGGCGCGGCGACCGATTTCACCAAACCCCATGCAATAGGACGGTGGGCCCGGCGCAGCGTCGTGCTCGGCGTCCAATGCCAAACACATCGGCCCAATAAAGCCGGCAGCCTCCGGGGAGATGGTCCCACGGAATTGGCCCGGGTACGAACGCATTCCGTGCCGACCGACGCTAATGCCGTCAGGCGACTGTTAGCGCGCCGGAAACGGCGGCCGCGGTGGGAGGCCGCTTCAGCTCTCGTCTGTGAGTTCAGCAACAGCAAAGGCTCAGTCGAGTTTGTATGCGTCCAAAAGAAGCACGCGCGTCCAGTTCGAGGCGTTTTCAGCTACACAGTTGTGGACCTTATTGGGAAGGCTGGTGTCCTCTAGCGCTTAGCGGGGTGAAACGTCTTTCAGACTCATTAATCTGGGCTAATGTGGCAAGTTCATTTCGTCTCATTAGTAGAACTTCCTGGTATTGCAGCTTATAATGCCAATTTGGACGTTATTAGTACAAGGGCGCAGACGTGCTGATGACTCATTACCAGATCCAGGCAAAATTTAAGCAGATGATGAAAGATGAATAACATAAGCAATGTTCAATCCACATCTGTTTAGCGATGTTGAAATAAATGGTCGTGAGACAGACAGCAGACGGAGCAAGCTCAGTGTTCAAGAAGTCAACCAACGGATCCAGGATGACAATGTCTGGCATCGCATGTACGGTCAACCAATAGCAAAACTAACCTTCAGAATGAAGCAAAGGGTATGCTATTGCTCACCCTAATGCCATGAACATTTGTTATTTCGTCAAAGCCCGTGACATTTCATGTTATGCGACCTCGCCTTCTTTCCCAGGTTCTGGGGTACTGTCTTCTTCCCTTCTTTTTCTCTGTACGCAATGACGACGCCGTACTTAAGTGCAAAGCATCGTTTCCAAACTATCTCTGGTTTTGTGGGTAACTATTTAGAGTCGCTGACAATTACCAAAATGTCCGATCGCTTCGTGTCCTGCCGCCTTATAGTTCATGTGAAATCGTAGAAGCATAACTACATGCGGCAAAACCCCGTTTACAAAGCAGGACGGGGTCAAAGCTCGCATTTAGATCGTAAAAAAACAAATGGTTAGTTTGAATTAATTACCAGGCAGTCGAAAAAATTGTGTTTGATGCCATAACAGAGGTGAAATATCGAGGGCCATTGAGAGACCAGCCCTTTTCGACAGGTGAGCGCGCGCAAATGTTTCCATGCCAAGCCATTTTGGGGCGGCTTAAAGTCGAGGTAGAGTTTTGCGTTGATTTCTGCGTTAAGTTCTGTGCTGAAGTTGTATGGAGGTAAAAACAGGTGCTGAACAGTGCTCCTCTGAGAAGAATGGGTATTGAAGCATGTTATCCTTCCGCCAGATATGACAATCGGAGCATATTGCTTCTACCGTGAGCGCTTGATGATCCCAGATTATATCACACTCTTTCGTCGGTGAGATCTCATAACCAGCCTCCGTTTGTCGGGGGTGGACGGGCTCGACAGCCATTAACCTTTAAAGTTTGGCAAACTTGGACCGACGGCCGACGGCGAGCGACGCACTGCACCCCTGCATCGGCCCGGCGCCGGGTTTATAGCCCTGACGAGATAGCTGGCGAGGGGAGGGTAGGGTCATGAAGTGACACCAGGGACTCTTCGAGCCAACACGGGCCATCAGTCTTGGCCATGGTGCAGGCCACACGCCTGTCGGACAGGCCGCCGAATACTGGGCCGACAGGCCTTACATTCGACTTCGGCAGCGAGAGGACGGCGGGACACGCTGGACTTCTATCCTGGCAGCGCCGGCTGTACGACACACGGGCGGCACGCTTCGATCCAACAGATATCCAACATCTGACGGACACGCCACAATCAGGCGCGACATTGGGGATATGTGAAAAATAACAAGATGCCTACGCCTTCAACTGCAGCCTTAATACTCGGTCTGTCTGCCACACGTAAACACATCAGCGAGCAAAACTCTGAACCATGCTAAGTTTCCGCCACCAATCTATTCCTCGAACATTGTTGCGTTAATCTCATTTCCGTGACATGTCATACCTATGTCTGACGTGTGAGAAAGATACTGTTTAATGCATATCACGCAACAAACAAGTTCGCAATGTAAAAAAGCACGGAGTTCTAGGCCGCGTTTGTCTAAGCATCAGAAAGAGATTCATCGTGCAATCAAGTGATCCTGTGCATTTCTGACCAACAGCTTACGCCATACGGTGAAACCGCTCGCCTCAAAGCTTAACATTGATTTAACCTGAATGGACATTCCTTCACCTAAGCTTAGAAATACGACGAATCTAGCTACACTAAGAAAAAACAAACAAACAAAAAACGACGTTAGCTACAATGGAGCTAGCAGCTCGCCCGCAGCAACATCCCAGCATCTCCAAAGTTACACAAATCAGCATCTGGCCAAATTTTCTGCGAACTGAACTCCTTGTCTCTCGGCTGAAGATTTTTATCTCAACGACATAAATTCAATTTCTTCGGCGTCGTGCGGCTTCAAAGGCATCGGCGCTATCGTAGAATGGCAGCTTCGTCAGAAGCTCCCTTCCGGTGATAAATCTATACGGGATCTCATTAACGGCTCGCGAGCCGCCGTCCGGACCAACCGAGCGCCGTCCATTGTTGGAAGTCGGCCTGGCGCGTGCCGGCGGTGAACCCAGGGGCCCCTCTTCCATTTACTGCGAACCTGGTCCAGCGCTGGGAACACATCCGGACTCAGTGCCTTTGTCGCGCTTGAAGCCGAAAATGGCATGACACGTTAGCTTGCCGGAACGTGTATGGATTTTGATAGCGGCGAACAGCGAGTGCCTTCGGGATTTTCGGGACATCCAGCCGACAAGGGATAAGTGAACGTACAAAATTCAGAAATTATTTGAAGGACAACAAAAAGCTTTGCTAAGTTTCAAGTTCGGAGCAAACCCACACACACAGCGGTATAAGGCACACGACCTCGTCATACTCGCACGGAAAACCATGTCACACTCTCCAACTCGTCACACTTACCCGAACACGTCCGCTATACTCACCCAAATATGCTCGTCCCACTCATCGGCCCAAGCCCGCCACACTGACCAATGCAATACCGTCACACTCGCCCGTACGAGGCCGTTACATTCCCTCGCACGAGGCTGTTGCATTCAGCCTCACGAGGCCGGTACACTCACCCGCACGAGGCCGGTACACTCAGGCTCACGAGGCTGGTACACTCACCCGCACGAGGCCGGTACACTCAGGCTCACGAGGCCGGTACACTCAGGCTCATGAGGCCGGAACACTCACCCGCACGAGGCCGTCGGCCAGCTGTTGGCTGGAGAAGCGCAGCAGCTGGTGGCCGTGCTGCTCCGCCAACTGGAGGCGGCCGGAGCGCGGTGGCTCGAGCACCCTGAAGCCGCTGACGCGCTGTCGGTAGTACCTGCTGGCGACGGTGAGCGCGCGAGGCGTGAGCGCCACCTGGCCACCCTCGCTCAACGTCAGGTTCCACGTGACCAGGCGCACCTGGCGCGACTTCACCAGCACGTCAAACTGCAGTCCCGACATGCTGACGATGCCGTTGGTCACGGTGAAGACGAAGCGGTCCTCTGTGGCGTTGGCCACCGACTGCACGTAGGTGAGGTTGCCGTCGTTGATGAAGGCCTGGTCGAAGGTGACGACCTTGGGCCGGGCGTCGGGTCCCCGCAGCATGAGGAAGCCGTACGTCGGGCCCTTCGTGACGGTGAAGCGGATGTCACCGGGCGCCACGTTGGGGTGCATGACGTGCAGCAGCGACTGCGACACTGTTACCATGTCGCCCTCGGGCACCAGCGCCGACCGGTTGTTGACGACGCGCAGCGGCTCCCAGTAGCTCTCCGGGTATATGCGAAAGCTCAGCGACCCGTTGGAGGCGAGCTTCCCGACTCGCACCTCGAACCCCACCGAGTCCTGCGCGCCCGACGCCTCGCTCGCCTCGTACTCCACGGCACCCTGCTGCACGTCCTGGAAGGAGAACTCGGCGGCCGGCTCACCGCGCACGCGTAGTCGGCCGCGCTGCGGCGGCGCCGTCACGTGGAAGCGCACGTTCTCGTCGGCCACCTCGACGTTGGTCTCAGGCCGGAGCCGGTCGGCCGTCACCTGCTGCGAGTCGCCGCGTGGTACGGTCAGCGGCGCCGCCGAGCCGTTCAGCCGCACGAACGGCTCGGCGGCGGCGATCTCGAGCACACCGGTCGTGTAGTGCGCGCCGTCTGACACCCAGAGCACGACGCGCGAGCGGTCGACGCCGCCGTGCTGGAACACCAGCCGGTCAGCGTCGATGTCGGCCTGCGTGAAGCCAAACACCTCCGTATTGTAGTCGGGGTGCAGGTAGAGCGCGCCGTTGGGGATGCCGCGGCGCGTGTAGGAAATGTCGGACGGCTCCGTGTACAGGTCCGGGTCGGAAAAGGTGAGCTGCGCCGGGCGCACGGCGCGCCGCCCGCCGCGAACGACGTACAGCGGCCGCGCTGCCGTGCGCCGCGGCGCGTTGTCATTGCGCATCACGACCAGCACTTCGGCAACGCCCACGTACTGGAAGTCGTCGTCCGGGTTAAGCGAGGTGGCAACGAACCCGAACGCGTCGCTCGGGTTCTCCGAGTCGTCGTGCGCGTACAGCACGCGGCCGGCGGCGATGTCCTGCGAGGTGAAGTGCGCGAGCGCGGCGCGCCGCTCGCCGGCCGCGCGCAGACCGCCGTGCGCCGGCGGCTCCGTCACGTTGTAGAACACGGTGGCAATGCCGTCGATCTCGATGCTGAGCTGCCGCGGCATGATGGCCACTGCGTCTCCCTCGCCCACCTCGATCCGCTTGATCGAGATCATGCCCTTGGGCGCCGGCGGCACGTGGCGCATGTTGAACTCGTGCACGGGTGACTCGAAGCCGGGGATGTGCACGCGGAAGCGGAACAGGTCCGTGAACGCCGAGTAGGACTTGCGGTGCAGGCGGTAGACTACGCGGCCGGCGTCGACGTCGCGCTGCGAGAAGGAGACGCCAACTGGCAGCGCCTGGCGTCGCGCCGGGCTGCCCTCCAGCCGGAACAGGTCACCGAAGCGCGGCGTCGACGTCACCACGAAGGAGAGGTTCTCTGCCGGCTGGGGGAACGGCCGCGGCTCCGCGTACAGGAAGTCGCGCGTGACGGCCGCCTCTTGCGTGCGGTTCAGCACCAGCTCGCGGTTGGTGACCAGCTGTACCGAGACGGTGAGGAACTGGATGCGGAAGTCGTGCACAGCCGGCTGCGTGGCGTCCTGCAGCACCACCTGGAAGCGGAAGCCGTCATGGTCGGGAGTGCCTGTCGTGTGCCGGTAGCGCACGCGGCGCCGCTTCAGGTGCCGCATGGTGAAGTGGCTGGTCGGCTGCCAGTGGCCGTTACCGCGCAGCTTCTGCACCTTGCCGCTCTGCGTCTGCTTCACGATGACAAACTTGATGCCAACCTGCTCGTCCTGCGCGTTGGTGGTGAAGCTGAGATTGGCGGTGGTGATGAGCGCGCTGGATCCATGCGTCACGCGCAGGCCGGTGTTGTTGACGGCCACCGCCTCCAGGCGGAAGGTGACCACGCGCAGCAACGTCGTCTCGCTGGTGGCCTGGCCGTCGGAGACGCGCAGCGCAAGCCGCGTGTCGCCGCCACCGCCGCCGTGCACGAACAACACCTGACCGTCGTCCACCTGCTCCTGCGTGAACGAGTCGACCGGTTCGTCGGGCCGGCGCGCCAGCTCCAGGTGGCCATCCACCTCAGCCGGGCTGAGCAGCGTGAAGACGAGCTCGCGCGGCCGGCTGTCCGGGTCCTGGGCGTGCAGCACGTCGGCGCCCAGCGTGCGGCGCGTGCCCGCCGCCAGGCGCACGGCGTTGCCCGGCGGCAGCTGCAGCCGCGGCGGGTCGTTCACCGGCGTCACCGCCACGTGCAGCACGAACTTGTGGCGCGCCTGCAGGTAGGCGGGCAGCGTGAAGCCGGCGCGCGCGAACAGCTCGAGCTCGAACACGACCACGTCCTGTCCGCTCTCGGCGCCGCCGTGCAGGTAGCGCACGCGGTCCGAGAGGAGGTCGAGCAGCGTGAAGACGGACTCGTCCGGCCTCCGCCACACATCCACGCTGATCACGCCCTGCTTGGGCGGCTCGCGCACGTGGAAGAAGACACCCGAGTCACGCACGCCGTACTTCTCGTAGTCGAGCACCAGCTGGACGTTGGCGGTGGTGAGCAGCGCCTCGCCGCCCTCCAGCACCGCCAGCGGTGACAGCGACAGCAGCTGCAGGCCGGCCGGCAGCCGCGCGTCGGTGAACACGCCGTACTGACTCGTGAAGTCGGCACGCACGCACACCGGCTGCTCGCAGTCGCAGCGGAATTCGGCTACGCCCTGCGGCACGCACACGCCGCCGGGCACGCACGGGTCGCGAAGGCACGGGTACTCCCAGACGCACTCGGCCTGCACGCCCAGGCTCTCAACCACGCTCGGCAGGCCCGTCAGCACGTCGTCGACGAAGAGGTTCTGCACGCAGCCGCGCAGGTCCACCGGAATGTCCTCGATGCCCTGCTTGGCCGCACGGATGCGGTTCTTCTCGCTCAGACCGCCGACGAAGAGGTTTGACGCGAATGCCTGGAAGTTGGTGCCGTTGTCGGGCTTGACGCTGGTCAGCGTCTGGTCGACACTCAGCTCGACGTACTCAACGCCGACCGTCAGCTGCGCCTTGTGCCAGACGCCGTCGTTGACGGCCACCTTGCTGTCGAGCTGCACGCGCCGTCCGCCGGCCTCCAGCCTCAGACGTAGCCGGCCGTCGCGCAGCGTCGCCATCACGTGGTCGCGGCCACGCCGGCCCGCGTCGTTGTAGACGATCAGGCCGTCCGCGGCGGCCGTCTTCAGGTCGAGCCGAAGGGTGCCGCCGGCGTGCGGCAGCAACGGCGGCAGCATAGCGAACGCGTGCTCGCCGACGAAGCTCAGCGACACGTCGGCGTCGGCGTCAAACTGTTTGTCGCAGCCCCAGGTGACGCCGAAGGCGGTGCCGCGCTCGCGCGCCGTCGGGAACAGCGGCACGTCGTTGAAGCGGACCTGGTGCAGGCAGCCGCGGAAGTTGTCCAGCAGGCCCAAGAAGATCTCTGAGAAGTCGCCCATCCCACCGATGAACACGCCGTAGTGGATGTTTAGCTCGTAGAAGCGACCAGGGAGCTTTATTCTGAAACGGACGAGGACTCGTGAGAGCCATCTGTCGGCATGCGATGCTAAATTAATGGTTAAGGAGCGCACGTTTGCGATGTTATCACGATAACGAGCATTGCCTGGTTCTCTGCAAGTTAACGCTCAAGCGGTTTCCACCAACAATGCAATCGGAAATGCCTGTAGCATGCCACTGAATCGACAAGCAATCGCAACCATTCATGCATGCAGCCATTCAACTACTGGCATCGGAGATCACTTTACAGTATGCTGTGCGTATCTACGATGCCATTTAAATTATCCGAATATTCGTGCGTTATCGTGAAATCGATTGCCGTTGACCTTTGGCTATAATTAACCCAGCAAACAGCGGCACATTATGCAATATCTTACAAAGTATTATAGCGAATCATCGGTGCCTGCAATTTTCATCCCTCTCCAGCACGAAACAATATATTAGCCAATTCGCTTGGAAAATTCAACACGAAAGGCGGCCCCAGCCATACATTTCGCTGGCAGTGACAGGAGATCCGCCCGGCGCGAGTCGTTCTGGCTTCATTAGCCGGTTTTAGCGCCAAGCGCCTCAACTCGGCGGCCGCCGAGCGGTCCCCGGGCGGGCGCTGGCCGACCCGGCCCGCAGCTGACCTGCTGACGTGCACGCCGTCGATGGTGAGGGCGACGTCGGCGTCCTTGCGCTGCACGTCGACGACGTGCCAGAGTAAGTCGTCCAGCCGGCGGTCGGGAGGAGACGTCACCTCCCCCTCACCGGCGCCCAGGTTGATCCGGACCTGGAACCGGCCGGCGAGGCGAGTGAGCGGCGACTGTGGCCGAAGACAGGTGGAGGTGCTGGGGCCACGCTGGCAACGCCAGCCCCATGTGATGTGGTGTGATGTGGTGTAATTATGGTGGGATGTGATGTGTCGTTTGCTGGGCGAGGAGCGCACAAGAGTCATCACTATCATTGTTGTACACCCCGCATAATGCACATGGCCTGTTTAAAGTGAACTGTGATCTGGCATGGAAAATACGGAACACACCAAATCATCTTAAACATATATTTTTGCAATTACCGGTACAGGTATGTCATTTTTGATACACACTGGGGTACGAAGAGTCTATCCCGCGAAATGGGATGTCATCTCAACACCCGTATATTTGTTTCAACGTCATGTTTCTACTTGTAACTTTAATCTTAACATTCAGGTGGTTACATGCCGAATGAACAAATTCACTCGGCCAACAGCGACGTAAAATACCAAAGATGTTGGATGAGCAAAGCTTGTTCTGCTGGCATTACTGCTAATGGATACAGATATTTACGATGCCGTGGTTATCTATAACACTTTGTTTTCTGTTTGCCACTACTAGCCCTCACGCTGAAACTCCCTGTATTTAACCGGCAATCACGGAGCATGAGGCTGATTCTGATCTCCTTTCAGGTCACCAGCTGTAGTCATGACGGATCTATTTGGTTTGGATGTGTAAGTGTACCCCGCTCAAATTCACCGGTAACATTTAACAGTTACGGGCGTTTGAGGGACGCTGCTGCCTGTTAAGGGAAGCTGGGCATTTACGCTCGCATTTTGGTTAACAGCACACGAGAACCTTATGCGTCGTAATTTACATCTCTTTGAGATCACATTTTAGATCGGTGCAAGATGAGCAAAAATTGCATATGACTCCAAACGAAGTGATCATAATAAGGCATACCATTCATTCTGACGTGAGCACGAAACACATTCTGTTCTAGCGAGATCAATTTAATACATCCACCAGCGGCGTCCAATGCTCTGTCATGATGATTTAATGTCAGGTCACTCAGTAGGACTCTTCGAACAGAACAATTTCCGGCACATCAAACCAAGTCGCAGTCTAAAAGGCGTTCGCGCCGCGCAACAAAAGGGTCTACATAATTGAGCCTGGCAGGACAATGGCCCGAGCAGCCTCGCCCAACTGAGCAGCCATTAAACCACCGGGTAAGACGCCTGGGTAGCAACGCCGCACTGGTTGCGCCTGTTGCGCGCCATCCAGATGTAGCCGGCTTGGCCCCAGCTGGTGCCCCACGAGTTTTTGACCAGCCAGTAGTCGGCACCGGCCTCGGAGCCGTAGCCCACGGCCAGCACGCCGTGGTCGAGCCGCGAGCTGGAGCAGGCCGCCTCATCGTACACGCCGGACGAGTAGAACTGGAATGAGAAGCGCGAAGCGTCGATGGCGACGGAGACGGGGCCGACGAAGGCCACTGCCGACTGCAGCGCCTCCTCGCTGCCCGACGGCACGTCCTTGTAGCTGGAGATGCTGGCGCCCGGAGCGGCAGCATCGTAGCGGCAGCGGAAGCTGGAGCGCTCCTCGTACGGGTAAGAGTCCTCTGTGGCGACGCCGCCGTTGGCGATGACGTAGTCGAAGGCCGAGTCCATGAGGCCGCCTTGGCAGCCGAGGTTGCCCTGCGGTCGCGAACAATCCATCAGATTCTGTTCGGAGAGCGACACGAGCGCACCGCTGCTCAGGAACGTGGCGCCTTCCACCGAGCCCGTGGTGGAGAAGGCCCAGCATGAGCCGCACTGGCCCTGGTCCTTGACGGGCGTGACGGCGCCCTCGTCCCGCCAGTCCTTGGCCTCCGGTAGCCGCGCGGCCGACACCTGGTGCAGGCGGCGCGGCGCGGCGCGCCCCCGCCGGCTCGTGTTGAACTTCGCCACGTACGCCTTGAACTCGCCCTCGCTCAGATCGCCGAAGTGGTTCATGGCGAGGGTGAAGCTGTGCCGGCCGGCGGCGGCGGCGGCGTTGTGCTCACGGATGCGGCGCATGTTGTCGGCGAACACGCCCATCCGGTGCGCCTCCTGCTCCAGCGTCTCGTACTGCTTGCGGTGGGTCAGCTTGAAGCTCTCCCACTCGTGGCGCGCCACTAGGCTGCCGGCGGCGGCCGCAATCAGGGCGAAGAGCACGGCGAGCTGCATGGCGAGGCTGTGGGCGGCGTTGTGGCTGTCGGGCCGGCGGTGCCGTCTTTATACACGGTCGCCACTGTCCTCGCCGTGTAGTCGGGAACGGGAGCGCCCGACGCAGGTGCGTGGCCGAGATCGAGCGCTATTTGCTGTGCGTGAGAGCGCTGGCGGCTGCATTTCCGGGGCAGGGCCACGGATCGAGACCATTGTCGCGATCTGGCCGGCAGGACAGGCCGGGTGGAAAGTCCACCGGAGCGTGACGCCCCCCAGCCACGTCACTGTTTTATCGCGTTTCACACACAAAGCCCGATATGTGCACGCAGGTTATGTAGAGCACCGCGTGCACTCACCCAAACCGAGTCACGCCAGGCCGGGCGTGATGCAAGACCATGATTATATACGTCCATCGGCGGAAGGCCACGACGCTGCGTACCTTAAAGGGCAGGTGAGGCGTGACAGGGAGCGTCACCGACAGCCGACGCCAACCTCTGAAGCGGCGGCCGCCGGAACGGAAACGTGCGCGGGTTGGTGCGGGGCTGCTTGAACGGAAACGTGCGCGGGTTGGTGCGGGGCCGCCTGAACGGAAACGTGCGCGGGTTGGTGCGGGGCTGCTTGAACGGAAACGTGCGCGGGTTGGTGCGGGACCGCCGGAACGGAAACGTGCACGGGTTGGTGCGAGACCGCCGGAACGGAAACGTGCGCGAGTTGGTGCGGGGGAGGCTTGCTGATTGAAAGAAACCCAGCCTCGGGTTCCGAGTTTCGTTGTTATTACATCTAACCCACAAATGCCGATTTAGCCCACATTTACCAGTACGTGCAGGGAAGAGCTTGCTCACTGTCCGGTGGGAGAGGCGTGTTGGTGAATTTTGTCATGGCGTCAGTAGGCTTTGGGATTAAATTGAGCAACTGCTCACCTACCCTAGACGATTGCTTATCGCTTCTTTAAACACAGTAAACCTAACATTGGTGATCTTGGCCTGCAAACGTTCTCTATCCGTCTCCAGAGGGATCTGCACAAAACATGCCGTCTACAAATCTAGATAAGCCTGACGCATGAAATCGTTTTAGGATCCTGGTTTCCGACAGACATGTCACTTTGGACATGCGTAGTCCTTTCTGTATCAAACGAGACCAAGGACTTTTGACAACCTACTTCTAGATTGCATTGGTTCTGGACGTCACTTTAACACTTGTTTAAAACCTTACATTTACGCACTTATTCGGACTTAAAACATGATTCTGAGAATACTTGACCCAAAGCGTCGCCTTTGCTCAAGAAAGCTGCACCGTTCTTATTTGTGCTCCTAAGCATCAAGGTCGATTCAACATGGACGGTTGACCTGAGCGAGTTGAACAAAGCATTGCTTGATTCTCATGTGCCGCGCCGTCCGATGTTTTTGATCTCTTCGCTCTAGCCCTCACGCTTACAGGGACCAAATGATAGAGCTGTTCACACCTTCGTCTGTGGTACAAACGAAAATCGCACAGTCTAGCGATGGAAAGGGCTTTCTTTTGTTTCGGGTTGTGGGGACTAAATCCAACCCACCAACGCAGTGACCACAGGATCTTCAATGCTAACACATTATGCAAGCGTGAATACTGTATTAAGAGACTAACACATTATATAGCCTGCTGCATATTTCACGACCAAAAATGCCACGTTTCATTATCTGAAATCTGAACATGTCAACAATCGAAGAGCGTTTATACAGGAAGGGGCCTTAATAGGCATGACGTTTTAAAAACATCTGGGTCCCGCAGTAAGGGTTCGTGCGACAAGTACGCATAATTTATGTGCGGTCAGGTGGGCGTCACGAGCTCAACCCAATAATATCCGCTTGGATTTATAAAAAAATAATATCGGATGGATGCAATTGGATGGAATTTGCATATAAAGAATACCTGATAGACGATTTACGAATTTTTTTGCTTTTATATTTCTGAGTCTGGGTGCGTGCCCTTTTATTCATTTTGTCTTGGTAATATTACGTTTTAAATTAAAAGTTACATACTCACAATTGAATAAAATATCCTACCTCATGTTAAAAAAATGGGTTATGAACATTTCACAGCACTGTGTCCTACGCAGTATCTATGTATTGTGTGGATATACAATAACTCTATATTTCTCTCCATCCGAAGCCTCTCGCACGGGTGGAGCCGGGTCCATCGCGTGCCGGTGGCAGGGAACAGCACACAGCTCGGCGCGGTGACGGAACGCGCCCCGCCCCGTGCGTGGCGACGGGCCGAGCCCCGGCGCCGTCCGTGGCTGTGGCCACGGCGGCCCTCCACTCGAGTGCTGGCCGGGCTGAAGTGGCCGCACCGGAGCCGCAGGACTCGCGTGCTGTTTGCTCGCCGCGGCTAGAGACGCCACGCCCTACCCGTGCCGGCTGCTGTGAGAGCATGCCGAGTGGCGCGGCCATACAGCCAGCCAGGGCCGTTTGTGAAAAGACGAAGAGTTGTAATTCGAAAAAATGACCGGGTTAGAATGAAAAATGAAAACAGGTCGGGAAAAAACAAAACAGCATGAAAGATACCAGATAAGAAAAAGAGTGGAGTGACACAATAAGGGCCCAGGGCGTAAAATCCAACGCTAATAGAGACCGAGGACAGAGGAGGAACCAGACAGAGTGGGTGGAGCGAAATGACAGTAGTTTCATTAGCTGAGGGCCAGGCTAATGTTTTGTTTTTGCTGGCTGGCAGCGTGCCGGGCGCCAGAGACCCGCCGTTTGCCCGCACCCCACGCGGGAGCGGCGGCGCATCGTCGCAAGCAATAACGACGCGGCTGATACAGTCGTCAGCTGGCGCCGCATGGCCGCGCGCTCCTACCGGCTGCACCGGGCCGATATTAATAGTCGGCGACGGCCGGAAGACGGGTGAGAGCGACGCTGCGGGACCGTCGGCGGAGAGGACAGCGCCGGTGACGCTGCCTCCCCGACCTCCGCCGGCTCCGCCACAAACAGTCTTGGGCACGCGTCCCTGAGTGGCGTGCGCTATAGAACCGCCGCTGCTCCCGCGGAATGGCGCCCCGGATGGCGCCGGGGGTGGGGGTGGGGAGGGGCGTCGTGGGGGGATGGACGATGCGAGCATCTGAAGGACCCGGCGAAGTAGCGACTCGAGTGGGGAGGCTGGGGTGAGGGGAAAATGTGTGCTGCGCTACCGAGCGCAGTCGGTAACGATGGCGGTTGTGGACAGTCTGGTGAGACGAGAGAAGGCGCGACATCGTGTCAGCTCCAACATGCAGCATGCGTAGAGGCGGCGTCAGTACGGACAGACCCTTTGTGTTCACTTCCCACGACAGCGTTAAATCGAGTTATGATTTTGAGAACACATGGAGCGAATTGCGTCGAAACATGGAAAACCACGGACCTTTGGGAGCGTTTTTACGCCCCTACCATGCCTGATGTTTCTACAGGACGTGATGAGCATCCAGCACCACATGGGGAACGCGTTCACAAACCAGCATGGTTGTCCAAAACACGGGATAAGCCCGCAGCCTAAACGCACCCTATAACACCTTTGAACTCTGAAAAACTGTGTGAGTTCCGTGATTTTCCCAACGGTATCCAACAACAAGCATGCGGTAGACCACCGTGACCAGCTCACGCCAACGCACATCATTTGCCTCTACGGCTCTCCAAGGACTGATGGCCCGGCAGGCCTACGGCGGGCCGCGGCTGCGCAGGCCTCCGTTGGACTCGGAGCGGCGTCTCAGTCAGCTGGCGGCCAGCACCTCGCGGCCAGATGAGCCGCTAATTCCCTCAGCCGCCGCCGGTTACGCTAACTGCTGGATAACGATGGCGGGCGGCCGCCGGGTGGGGCGGGCCGGTGGCGCGACGGCGGACCGGAACTGAGCCGGAAAACTCTGCACAACTTCAGAGTGGCGGCGGTGCATCACCCGAGAACTCCGGAGTAGCAGCGATGTCCGGCCGGCTGACCCCGCGCCGACGGAGGGCCGAAGAGAGCGCCCATCACATCCAGGCTTCCGTCTCCGCGACTCTGAACTAGGCGACATGTCGTTAACGTGGCTCGGCGGGCCGAAGAGCGCCCATCACCTCCAGGCTTCCGTCTCCGCGACTCTGAGCCAGGCGACATGTCATCAACGTGGCTCCGCACGGCGTGACGCGTTCTGGCTGGTTGCGGCCGCAGCTGGCGTCTCGGCACCGCATGAGGTGGGGCCTCCTGCCGCGACCGCCACGGTGAAGCACGTCACCATTCCGTCCCATCCCAGTCCAACCCCAGCTGGCGTCGCGGCACCGCATGAGGTGGGGCCTCCTGCCGCGACCGCCACGGTGAAGCACGTCACCATTCCGTCCCGTCCCAGTCCAACCCCAGCTGGCGTCGCGGCACCGCATGAGGTGGGGCCTCCTGCCGCGACCGCCACGGTGAAGCACGTCACCATTCCGTCCCGTCCCAGTCCAACCCCAGCTGGCGTCTCGGCACCGCATGAGGTGGGGCCTCCTGCCGCGACCGCCACGATGAAGCACGTCACCATTCCGTCCCATCCCAGTCCAACCCCAGCTGGCGTCGCGGCACCGCACGAGGTGGGGCCTCCTGCCGCGACCGCCCAGGTGAAGCACGTCACCATTCCATCCCAACCCAGTCCGACCGCGGCGTAGCAGCCGGCGTCGGTCGTCTGTAGGAAGTCAGGGGCATGTAGGCTGAGCCTCCTTCCCATGCAACATCGGCGACAGCGTCGCTCGGCCACCGGCTTACTGGGCCGGCCGCGGTCGGCGCTGCTCTGGAGAGCCCCGCCCGGTCACTCCGCTCGGTTTAGAGCCGTCGCAGGCCCCGCACGCCCAGTTTACGGCCCGTCAGCCAGTAATGAACCGCGTTTAATCAGCGGGCAGCCCATGAAAAGCCGATCGAACCACTTCGGCGGGCCTTTCAAGCGGGCCGGTTTTATGCCGGATCTGTGAATACGGCGCGGGATGCAGTTAACGTCCGTCTCCCAACCCGGAGTACACCACAAATCCCACCAGTCCGTCTAGCTCCCATTCACTTCACAGAGAGGAGCTGAAGCTGATCCACTTTCCTCGAACACTGAGATCCGCCGGGGTAGCAGGTGTGCTACCGCAGAGCACCTGGGTAACACAGCAGCAGTATCCGGCTGCCACAGTAATTGCCAAGTGGCAGTCTTCCGTCAGTGTTCAGCGTACATATGCAGACCACCAGTTATCAGAAAGATCATTTGACATAAGGGTTACAGCAGGAACTGGACCTGGCCGTGAAAGAGAGCTCACTCAGGCCAAATGCCCCGGGAACGGAACTCTGCATCTCTGGAACCTCCCTCGGCTTCGTTCGGGGAGTTGGGATCGCCGTTCAACACTTTTGCACGTACCTTCCAGAAAATCATGCCGGCACCAGAAAATGAGTTTTATTAAAACGACTGGGAGCGCAGATGCTTCAGAACTCGAAGGAATTTCGGTTTTTCCTACGCAGCTTGCGCTGGCCTGATCGGAAAGCTGAGGAACGTTGGGCGGGGTGCACGAACATCTTCGAATGTGTGCAGGTTCCTACCTATGTCCGACACACCAGCTCTGCCCAACACATTACTCCCGTGCAGGCAAGCCAACACCTGCATCTAAAGCATATCACATCCAGATGAGAGACTTTAATTTCCTCCGTCCATCTCCAGCTTTCACGCCGTAAACTTACTACCAATAAGATGAGCGGGATGACCCTTCGCACTCCCAGCTCCAGCTCGTTCCGCTGTGAGTCGACTGGCGACCTGTGGCTGACGCCGCGGAACTTTACGGTCCATTCCTCTGCGGATGACGCTGCGGCGGTGATGACGGGCCGTCGCCGTCCGGGAGTTACGTTGCCCCCTCTGGCTAAGATTCACCGAGCGCGCTGTGGACGTGCGGCGCCAGCCGCTGCGCGCTGCGCGTGCTCACTGCCCAGGGTCTCTGGTCGGCAGGGGGCGCTTGACTGCCCACGGGACTCATTTAACGGCCATTTCGCGGCACCAGTGCCGACCATAAAGCACCGGTCGGCGGTCATTCTGAGAGGCCGGTGGGCGGCGCGGGCGGAGCGGTCGGCGGCGGCGGCCCCGCCAATCTGACAGCTCGCAGCTGTCAGAGCTGCTCCGGGTCAGCTGCCTCAGCCGGCTGGCCGTCCCCAATGACCGTTCCCAGACCGAGATACAGCATTTCTAACAGCGCAGTCTATTCTCAGCACTTGCTCACAAAATTTGAGCGAGTCA